AAAAGAATCGCATGAGCTGAAAGATGGGACGGAGGACACTGAAGAAGTGACGATAGCCCCGCTCAAGCCTGCTCGGTCTGTTGGTCACCACCTGTTCCATCCGGAAAGCAATCTGATCCTGCGACATGGCTGCTCTTATGCGATGGCCCTCACGCGCGAATGGCATGATTAGAGACGGTTGGTCCGGCGTCTGCTAGGAGCGACAATGTCCCGTCGTCGACATCCTGCTGAAAAGCACTTCGGATCAAGAAGTTACGCTCGATGCAGTTGACGCCCGCTGCCAAAGCGTAGGAAATCTGGTCGATGTTGTCGATATTGTACTTCTTCTCTAGTTCGGTACGGAGATGTTCAAGTCCATCGCTATATAGGTGCTCTTGGTAGATATCATGATCATTCTCGGGGCCGGCTAGGTTACCCTCCGTCGACGCTTTCGTCCCTATTGCCTGTGCTATCTCTCTGGCCATTATTGCCGCCATCATGATCATCTGTAGCATTCGCATTACTTGCGTCAAATTCAGAATCGGGCTCGGGCTCGCACTCAGACTTAGAATCAGAGTATGAATCAGATCCTGAATCCGTATTATCGTCGTCTTCATTCTTCGAGCGTAGACGTGTCTCCATGGGTAGGTCTTTGAGCTCCTCGTTGACTTCAATCTCAATATTAGCCCCGCAGTCATACGTATGGAAAGCAGGCTCATTATCCACCCAGAAATGGTCGTATCAGTGATTTTCGGGAAAAAAGTCTTCCAATTCCTCATGAAGAGTGTCTGGAATGTTGTCCACTTGTCATACGATAGACTCGATGTACGCCGGTCGTTCAAGCCCCATGATGGCTCAACCACTTTGCCCAACAGCTCACTATCCATAAAGACCTCGATGTTGTATTCAGCAAGAGCTTTGGTGTGGTGTCGCTCGACGGCGCTGCTTTGACGGGAAGCCTTCTGCCGTTGTCGACGGTGGCCATGTGACCCAGACAAGTCATCCATCTGGCTCTGTACTGGATGCATCACGATGAACCAGACTTCACGAGATGCTGCAGTTGCAATCCGAAAGGTTCGGTTACGAATATCGAAAGGCAGGCTGGTCGAGACGGGTTTGCCAGCGTACGATGAGTGCCAGTATCTCAGGGTAAAATTGACGTTATCGAAGAAGCCGCTCCGTCTCGTGATTGGGCGTAGAGCCTATCATATCCAGGTGAAAAACCGGGAAATATCTATCTTCAGGATTAGCAACCTTGGACCCGGACGCCTTCCTTCCGTAGTCTATTGTGTATCTTCATTGAAACATTTCGAGCGCCTGGGCTGCATCGAAATCGAGCGTGTTCGTTCGTGATATGAAGTTTTCGGCTGGAGTAGGCACCGCCATTATTAATACAGAGAAGTTGGGGGGAACAGCAAGCTCGCATACTGACGTTTCATCCTAAAGTTTCCCTCGGAAGTATCAATATTAAAGTCATTCTTGTTTGCGGTCTGAGCCTCAAGAGCTGCCTTCACGCCGTGCTCATCAAAGTCACTATCAGTGTAAAGTTCGTCGACAAAGTTGGTGCCGGCAAAGTTTTCGATGCCATCGTCGTTGCTTTCCTCAGCATTGCCTATGAGAACGTAATCCTCTGCTTCTGCGATCTCGCCTAGTAGAATATCATGCCCACCCATCGCGCCGATGACTGTATTAGTACTGAATAAATGATGGCGTACCTACAAAAACGATGGCCGGATCCTCGGGAGATCACACCAGCCATGTGTGATTTTTACTGCAAGGGTGAGCTTTAAGTCATACCGCCCTTGTTCGTGCTCATTTCCACAAAAGCCGTAATCACACCGACTAAGAATGTAAGACCACTTGTACCTCGGGGTTGAAAAGATTTATGAAACTAGCTTGAGTCTAATGGAAGTTAATTTGAGTGCTGTTCCTTGTCGACCCGTTCTTATTACAAATATCCCTAATTTCAGCGTGGCCTTTATACATTACATCATCATCATGGCTGGCAGTCCGTCTTGACCGGGCGCCTTCCACGGCTTGGCTTCCATCACCTTCTCCACCTCCTTCATCGTGAGGTTCGGTACGGCCACTTCTCTGCACCGTGGTCGCGGGCTTTCTTCTTCTATGTCTGTTGGCAGCGGCGGGAAGAAGACGTTGAGCAGTTCCTCCGCCTGTTCGACTTCGTCCTGCGTCGTTGTTCCATCAGTTCTTAGCCATTAGGTATGCGGACAAATAGAGCAACAACCGGGAAGATAGGCATTTGTTAGGTAATTACCATGGTAGTCGACGGAGATCCAGACTCCGCACATCCACACCTGTCCTCAAACCCCGAGCGGAAATGAGCAAAGTGGGTTACTTAGTATGGGGTTAAACCTAGAGCCGGTAGAGGCGCTGGTGTAACCTAATCACTTCTCCGCTTCGCCGTACTCCGGAGACCTTTTGCCACTGCCGAAGCTGGTCAGAGGATCACTTTTCATTTGTCCATGAATTTCGCAGTGTTTTTCGCGTCGCAAAAGACACATATGTTTAATTGAAATTATGGTGATGAGTTTGTTCATTGTAACATGTAAGGATGATCCCGTCTAGGACCTGAGTCCTAGAATGTCCTAGATGAAACTCCTACGATCTAAGTTCAGGACTACAAACCTTAATCTGAACCCTGAACTTGAGCTGGGAAACCGTCAAGTCTTCCAGCACATATTCAACAGATGGTTTGTTCACCTCTACAACCTCTAAAACTGACATTAATGACTAGTAAGCGAGGCCAAACATATGGAGATCCAGATCTAAAGTTATAAGCCTAAATTGTAGCTACCTTGATACATAAAACACCAAAATATTTATCTCGTGTTTGAGCTAAACAGTCTCGAGCTTCCATCATAGGGTGTATTAACAACTCAATCACCAAGGCAAGACAGTACCGTCGTAGCTCATAAAACGGCCACTTTTATCCCTAGTGGCTGCATCAATCACAGCCACCACCCCATCAACGCTCTCCTTCACAGTAATAGCCCCCAGAGCCCTGGGGTCTGCGTTAAGCTTCGCAACCATGCTAGCCGCCATCTCAGTCTGAACCATGCCAGGGTGAATGACAAAGCTCGTCAACCACTGCTCCTCAAAGTGCAGCCTCCGCACGAACCAATTTAAGGCAGCTTTGCTGGCGCCATAGGGGCTCACATCAACAGGCAACACATCAGCCGCACCATTGCTTGCGATAGACGACGAGATTGCTAAGAAGACCGGGCCATGAGGAGCGTTCTTGCTGGACTTGAGTAGCGGAGCGACGGCGGTGAAGAGCAACAAGGGTGCGACAGCATTGACAGCGAAATGATCCATCGCGGAAGAAAATGTAATTTCAGATGTACGGGTAGAAGAGCAGGAGATGCCTGCATTAGCGATAACGATGTCAAGGACGGTGATGCCGTGGTCTTTTTGCAGAATCGCTACAGCGTCAGTGGCATCCGAGACGATAGCCGCGTCGATTTTGATAAGAATGAGCTTTGAACCAGAAGCCTTGGCAAGGGAGAGGAGGTCTCGAGAGGAGGGGTGCGAGGGGTTACGCACGGCGGCGATAACGGTTGTTTGTGGACGTTGAAGGAGGAAGGCAACGAAGCCAAGGCCAATGCCGCGGTTTGCCCCCGTGATAAGGTAAGTAAGGTTAAAGGACATCCTCGAGAGACCCTTAATATAATCTAGAGATGGGTCTGGTGGTTAATAATTTCTCGAAATCTATAGTAAATGATACGGATGATCTGCTGACAATTTCTGTATCAAAATTCGGGGTTGTTTGTCGGTTTTTATAGCATCAGACTTGTACCTCTTTGCGTGGTGGAAATGCTAGCCCCGACAAAAGGGCGTAGCATCCGAGCACGTATATAATCGGAGTCGGTTCTATTATAGTAACCTTCTGAAATAACGTTGACTCGATAAGCCCCAAGGAGCAACAAGCTAGTGCTGGAATATGAACATCACTAATCCGAAAACCAAAAGATACGGACGAATGTCCTAAAGGAGGTCGGGAACCGCTGGCGCTACCCACTTTGAGCAGTTCTAGACGAGTCAGTGGATAGCTGTCCTATTTCTACCAGAATGCAAGGGTTTCCGACGACCCAGTACGGCACATAATAGCCGGGGCCCCATAGGGACACGCCTAGGCGTCTCTCCACTTCTGCAAACGCAGACGTGCGGATTATGTCAGCTCCCAATTTGGCACAACTCCACAACTGCATTTCGAATTTTGAGGCTGGCGGGTTTCAGAATTCCGAGATTTAGAACTGCAATGAATTCCTAATTATCAAGCTGAATACAATTCCTGCTGCTCTTTTCCATCATTCTCAGCCGCCTTCAAGATGTCGCGCATGCCTCTTCTGCGAGAAGATGGATTACTTTCCATCTCTGCCGCTACCTGAGCCTCCACCCAATCATTTCTGCTTTACTCCAATCCAGGTACGCCATCATCTCTTCCTTACTCCAATCTCTAGGTCCGGTGGGTGTCGTACAGAGTTTGCCCATCTGCTTCCAGTCAAGACACCACTAGTAGCTTGCTTTGTCATACCGCAAAGGTAGACCTAACGCACTCCGATACTGCTGGTTAGTTTTGACGCTACCATGAGGCTGCGCCTTATACCAAGCATCTGGAGCAGCGACGTATCTCCGATAGATAGCTTGTGGGTCATCGTATCTTAGTGTTGGCTCCACTGGTGCTGTTGAAGATGATGCTACTGGCGACTTCCCTCCCTGTGTCGATAAATTTGCTGGTGACGCTGCCGATGATGCTGCTGTCTCTATACTAACGACAATGCAGCTAGTATCATCCCTACCAAAACGAGCATGTCCGGATAATCCCGATGATGGGTCTTCCAGCAGTTCCCCTTCCTGCAAAGATGATACAGATGCAGATACTGCTGCTGCTGGTCGTGCTTCCCCGGATAATGCTGGCGAGAGTACCACTGGCATTGCTCCTACCTGTGTTGACGATGATGACAAGTACAAAATCCCCTCGTGCCGTTGAGGGCATGCCTCTGACGTCATCTTGTGTCCTGATTTGTGGCATCTACTGCATGTAGGTCGTGCTCTTGGCTGCGCTGCTGCCTGAACTGCCTCGAATGCACTTGGTTCTCTCTGAGTGCTCGATTGCGATTTACTTGTGGTAGAATCGGCAGCTGTTCGATTAGATCAGTGTCGAGGCTCCAATAGTACCTGATGAAAACCAGGACGGCTCAAATACCAATGCGGGTGGAAACGCTCCAAGTGAAGGGTTTGGCCTTGCTGTTGTAGAGCCTTGAGAAGATGGGCACAAGGGAGGCCGTGGGATCGAGAGAATGTACCGGTACAACTAGGCAGGTCATCTTTCATGAGCCGCTTCCGCTGTTCTTCAACTTTGCGTAAAGCCTCGTGAGATATCCATTTGTTTTGCCTGTCTAGCTTTATCATTTTAAGTTTATCTAGTTAATCATTTCTTCTTGAAAAGTCAACGTGCCTCTGCAGCAACGCGTAAAGTGATGCCTAAGGCTACAAAGCAAGATAATAAGATAAGGCGTTATACACTATGCCAAAGAACACAATAACCTTAATGTTAAGTCTCAGCAGGTCATACAGCTAATGACTTAAACCTCAATATCCAATGGAACAAGTGGCCTCAATCTATAAGCTTAAAGAAGATGTTTTCCCCAGTCTTGGAGGAAGGGGGAAAAGAGGGGAAAAAAGGTAAATTGAGAAAAGAAAGTTTTAGTGCTCAGGGAAAGACTATAAATGTTAATAGACTGAAGCTGGTTCGGTAAGTTAGTAATAGATTAGATCAGATTGTAAGATAACTCAGTAAACGTTAAAGAAATATAAGTTGAAGATAAATATAGTTCAAGAAACAGTTAGGATTAAATATGATATAATAATAATACTTAAGATAAAGTATAATATTTTTTAAACTATACCCCAATCACCACTACTCTTCAGGTCGTCTACATACTCTGCCAAATTTTGCTTTTCTGTTTCTTCTTCAATAGTCCAGTTCCGTACTTTATGGCCAATGGGTAAGTTTGTATTTTCAAATGCCTCACCCGCTGTTATAGACAATTCCGCTTTCTTAAAGTTCTCCCTTGCATATTTTTCAGCGTCATGCGTCCAAACCCATTTGCCAACTAGCAATGGCATTGTGCGATCTTTAACGATTTCGGTCATATCACGTTGAAGCTGGCGTCTGTTCAGGAAGCCGGTGTGTTGTAGGAGCGTAGTACGCTCATATCTAGATCAACATCAGCCTTGACGCGCTCAAACCCATTCTGTTAGCGGTTAAGTCTTACCTCAAGCGTGAGTGCACCTTGGTAGCAAGAGGAATTCTGTTTCTGCCAGCTAGTCGCAGACATTCGGCGAGAGACATTGCGTCTTCGAGAGCCATTGCAGCTCCAGTTCCGGAGGATGGAATGAAGCTGTGAGCAGCATCACCAATTTGAATAATGGTACCGCGGTCTGAGTACCACCGATTTTGCGGGTTCCGACAGCAAAGCTTCCATCGCACAGCAGTTTTAGATGGCGTATTGAGAATCGCTTCCATCAGGATTGGATCCCAATTGTTCCTGTCAGGAAAGGCCTGCGCCACTTGCTCCGGCTCTATGGTAGAGGACCAGGATTCTACTGCGGTGCCGTCATCCTGCTCTACATTAGTCTGCTGCCTGTCCATCCGCATAGTAAGTAAACATCACCTTATGGGTAATACCGAGAAAAATATGTGTTTTTGAAAGTAAAAACATGACATACAGATTATCACTGTCATTACGTTAGTCTTTTCTCAAAGAAATTCTTCTTCGCACCTACGCAGTGTATACACGTAATTGCGGACGGGCAAGCTTGTTGATGGCCCCAAGCAACGCCGGAGCATCCTTGATATACTCAGTAGAGTACCAGACGCGGTCAGCACAAAACCCCGTGCTAACGGCCCGCAAAGTTCTGCCCAGGGTAATACTACAACTCTTTGAGCCGATGCCGTCAGCGGCGACTACCACATCGGCACTGAAAGCTCGGCCATCCTGGGTGAGCGCCGTAGCAGTACCGTCGACATTCTCGACGTATGAGGTAACGTTGACGCCAAGTCTCACTTGTATGCCAAGTCTTCGACACTGTTCGCTAAACATGACAGCGAGATCTCGCCGACTGACAATGGGCTTACTTCGGATAGGCCAGATAGCATGAGTTGCGACTCCTGGAAGATTGTACTCCTGTTCCGACTTTGGGATAGCTATTTTGCCATCGGGATAAAAGAAGCACGTCTCGGTGTCGTGTGCAAATCGATCCCATTCTTCCAGCATCCTTGGGTACTGTCTGATCGCGCAGTAACTGTTTGGACTCAAGTTGATAATGTCACCTGAATTATTAGATCGTGTCAAACTTCAGTGAGTCATCTCACTCACCAGCTTCGGAAATCGTCTTGCTTTTTTCGAGAACTTGGACTTCATGGCCCTTTCTCCAGCATTCAAGTGCTGCCTGCAAGCCACCAAGGCCCGCACCTACGATCACAACGTTTATGCCAGTTGGAGGGTAGCGGACGACTCCATCCAAAATTTCGCCGTGTCTGGACATTGCGAGAGATAATTTGACAAAGAAATAGACAAATCTTAGAGGTAGTTATCAGATGCGAAATAAATCTTTTCGGGCAGAAAAAATTGAGTAAACTTTGTGTTTCTAGACCGTAGTCTTTATAGCTCAGGAGATCGTCAAACGAATTTCCTAGTCTTGAAGTAGATTATCTTTCAGAGCCTGGCATGCAGTTGCGTCCCCAGTAATTCGGGCAGAGACTCTCATCCAAGCCCGCTTACGTTATCTCTCTCGAATGATGATCGTCCTCGGCATTCAATGCGACTCATCATCAGGACTACAACGCTGAAACCCAACATCATCGACACCTGCAGTCTCGTAACTCACGGTAAGCACACAAGTCGTAGGATCACGAATGAATGCTACACGGCCGAGGGATCTGGCGCACTTCCTTGAGGTGCATGTATTTGTTTTGGGTTATTGTGTGGGTAGTTGGTATGCTACCTGAAATGTGTTACTTTGAGAGTGTTATTTGAGTCGATAGGCTTGATAATTGATTCTTGTATCGCGCGCCTTACCTAGTATCCCTCCATCTTCAGCAAGCCTCCGCCAATTATCTATGGCTTGAGTAAGCCAGGTTCGACCGAGCAAAACTTGGACAACATAATCATTCTTACTCTAGGGCTCCACTATCTGATATTACAGCAACTATAGCGGACAGAGCTGGCGGGGTTTATTTCCCCAATCGAAACCTCCGCGTTACGGCTCACCAGATGCTGACAATTCAATAGTATGCCCACTTGCAATAGAAGTAGGGTTGGTGCTGATAGACCTGTTGGCGATCAAATGCCGTGATAAAGGGTAGTTTCTCGGAATAACAATGACTCACCGTTCGTGCACGACGTGGCATTTCTGGATATCTACAAAAAGCCCAACCCCCGCTTAATAAAGAGCGCTCGATTTCACTAAGCGCACGTTCAAGAAATCAATGCGGCGGTAATCGCACATCCAATTATCCCCTGGCTGCATCTACAATGTGTGTAATTTTCCCATGCTCATCAACCCAGCAGTTGATCAATAACCAGAGCTTTTAGTGTACACAGAGTCGCTAAAAGCTCTCAGGTCTGCAGAGACAAAAACGATTTCTACTCAAATATCAGTCTATCTAAAGACATTGATAATTTGGTTAAGATTTGACTGTCGCAGGTTTAGACTTTAGGTTACAACTACGGATGTCTCCTGGGAGGGTCTGAAGATTTCGTTCCCTTAGTTTCACTTATTCCTCATGCTGATGAAGCAAGGTTGTCTCCGGGTACCGATTCTATCTGTGAGAACCCCCTCAATTCCGTTCAGGCTATTATTAAGCACTACCAGGGCGGGTCCCGGTGTCTTTCGTAAGCGGTGTTTGCATCGGCGAGTCTAGTCGTGCCGGCTAGAAGCGCCCTCGGCCTGTTTCTTACATCAGGAGACTCCGAAATCTCCGAGCAGTAAAAAAGGTTATTGACCGTAGTCCGGCGTTTATGTAGAAGCCGAACCCAATGAATAAGCATGATCATGACTTGAATTTTGATCCATATCTTTTTTATCTCCTCCAGGTCCCGCATCACGGATCTCTGGCCAATTATTCAAAATCATTCATCCCCACTTCGGTGTTCTTGCTTTACCGAAAGTCACCATGACCATCTCATCTGATTCTACTGCGCCCCTCATTGCTGTCGTTGGCTTAACGGGGCTACAGGGAGGCAGTGTCATTAACAACCTAGTTACGTCGGACAAGGTCTACCGCATTCGTGGCCCTACTAGGGATGCGAACAAAGAAGCTGCTCAGACCCTTGCGAAGCGGGGTGTCGAGGTTTTCACCGTAGAATGCCACGGGAACCCACAAAGCATTCCAGGGTGCAACTTGTGTCTTGGTTAGTACAATTTCTCCCAGCTTGATGCTGTAATGTAATGCAGGGAACGCGCGGTGATAACAACCAAACTCAAAGATAATGACCGACTACTGTGAGCACGTGGACAAGGCCCGTGAGATAGCAATTAGACGTTTCAGTTTTAGGGGGGAGAAACGATATAGTTAATGGAACTCCTAAAATATCTTTCAATACTTCTACATATCGATCAACCTAGGAAGATGTTACGGCTGAAGGCGATGAAGTCCAAGCTCTATACAGATCCGTATACAAAGACGGTTAGGTGCTTAGAGAGAACAACTCTGAGTTGTGTCAGCATTATTCGAGACGACAATTGATTCGTAAATCACCACTATATCATGTTTTGTTTTTGTTATCTACAAGGTAAGGATAGGCCCCTCTAGGCATCTCTAGAGTTTCCAAAAGCTTAAACATTAATCGGCTACTACAGTCAGCCGCACCGCAAAAAGTCAATATCATTATGATTTGGCTGCCTCAATTGCAGTGTGAACCTAGCTGCACACATACCGGCTGACAGCTCTGCTCATCAGCTGGCCTCAACCTTCCTCTTTCAACATGCCAAAAGGTCTTTCATCGACCATCGGGCTTCTCATCATCATGCTTCCAAGTTAGCCGAGGCCTGACCAACAAGAGGCCCAGCCACATCATCAATTCTATAACAGGAGCCAAAGCGGGCAATGATAATGAGGTTTTCTCTATGTCCTCCAGTGTATTGAAGGAGGATGCGAGAGGCGCGTTGACCGGATGCCATGCCTGGCAATGGCAGACTGTAAAAGTCATGGTCTCAAGTTGTTTGGACTCTGGCATATTTGGTGATTGATTGATAATCAATTGATTATTTAAAGGAGATATGGATTGAAGAACCTTTTTGTTGCAGTCGCTTATCATATACAGTATGGTAATCAGCTCTAACCCACTATCTCGTCCCTTTGTCCTACTCGATCCAGGCTCGCTTTAGACTCCGGATGCTACTTATTTTGTACACTGGAGTGACCATCAGTACCAGGCTCCAGAGGCCACATTGTCCCAAGTGAACACTACTCACGCATTCAACATAGCAATTCTATAGATAGATTAGCAAAGCCTCACAGCATACAACTTAACATATCCATCGCTCACATTATACCAGTTGGACTGGATCCAGCCATCACATTCTTGAGTGTTTCGACAAGTTTGGCCCTGTCAAGTCAAATTGTCAATAATCTCAAGCACTAGAGGATGCGTGACACTTACGGCACCACATGCTCCTCGAATGCAATACTATCTTTGTGGTCAGTCTGTAGTAAAACATATTGTCATGAACTCACGTCTGTATTCGGACGGCAATTCTGTCCTGGAGGAGCAACTCCTCCATCAGCGCGACAAGCATTCTGTCTGCGGCACTGTGCGTTGACGGAAAGGGCAAATAAGAGCATCAGTCCCCTCATGTTCACGGTTCGATGACCTTGAAACCAGTATTGTGTAAGATATAGCTTCAGATTGGTAAGGAAAACTTCAGTTTATATTTCTATAAAACAGAACTACGAAGCGCTTTTATAAGTTTTCCTATTACCCCTAGCAGAGTTACTAGGCTATGAAACTTAGTATCGGGAGGCGAAATTGGCACTCGTATCCCGGCTGAATAGGCCTGGGTTGGCACCGACGAAAATTAAACAATGCGGCGGGATTGAGTTCAACCTTTGTGCAGCAGGCCCCTGTCAAAGCATGAACTCACTATTGCTTTCATCATAACCTTGCTTGTTTGTTAAACCTTATTAAGGTACCCCTACAGAAAGTGACCTCAGGCGTGCTTGGGGGCGGTGGATATCAATTAAACTTTACGAGATTTGGGCAAGTTAGTGGTGAAGGGTGGTAGCAGTATGTGAGTTCGAGAAGGACCTGACTAATATGCGGAATAAGACGTAAAAGCTTTCCCGGAATACTAAAGAGGTGATATATATATATATATATGGCTTGGGATTATGCCTCTATTCAGCTGTAATAAAACAGGAAGGATGCTGCTGCATAAGTTCAGAAACGAGCTCTGGTATTACGACCTAAAGGGGAGAAGTGTTACGACCCCAGCGGATATGTCGCGGGTACCTCACTACTTTTCTCCAATCACATAAGCAGGCCCACTGTCTCACGCTGGACCGACCTTCCCAGCACTTCGGTCCACCAACAAGGATAAGGACCGAAGACTCTCATCCAACGGTCCTCCCAGACCGATGCATAAACTATATCGGTCCTGAAGGGACCGACCTCAACATACCATCGGTCCCCACGAAGGCTTCTAGTATATAGGACAAATTCATTTGCACTTCCATACATCTGAGCTCACCAGCTATCAATGAAACTTCTTCACATTGATCAAGCCTAAGACGCATTGAATTTACCATTAAAAGACGTGACACTTCGACAACGCTCAGCATCACGCCCTACGCAATCTGCCAACAATAAACCTAGCACGGCTTAGTTTACCCACAGTTGGGAACCAACCATCACAAATTGCTTATATTTACTTGGATTTCTACTTATCCCTTCCATCCCTACCAGTCGTACCTAACCGCTATGCCATAAAGTAAATGACTAAGCTATAACTATTATTGCAGTAAATACAGTCGTGCTTACAGCCGCGTGTAGAAGCCTTAAGGCGCCACCACAGACACTTAACACAACAACCAGCTGTTTTTCTTATTCCAATTTATTATATCATAATAAGAAAGCAATAGACTTTCTAAAACGCATTATATAAATTAAGTTAATAAAGTGCTAGAATAATCATCCTACTACTTATCCTTCCTCTCCCTACCCAAATTCTTCCAGTAAGAGAGCAGCTACAGAGTTGGCGTTTACACATCGACTACCACCTAAAGAGGCACCTTTACCAAGCCACAACATGTATTCCTGGCATGTCTTGAATGACTGTTTAATATGCTTCAAGAACCATTTAGTACGGCCTGGTCGACTAAATGCGCCAAAGCATAGAGGCATTACCATATCTGGGTATTGGCATGAGTTGTCCCCTTCGTACTCTGGATCCGCAGCTCGGCAGATCTCTTGCGGCTGGTAACACTTCCAGCACACAGCGTGCCGGTCCACCCATTCCTTCTTCTTGCTCTGACAGTCTCGAAGTGCTTTTTGCTTAGCTCGAATCCAATCAAAACGTCGAGCACAAGCTGTTACGATATGCTCAAACAATTTTCCTTCTACGCGGCAATAGAGACAGCAGCCTTTCATTGTCTCAAGATCTCTTTCATACCGACTCAATTCTTCATCACGTACTTGGTCCTGACGGAGCACCTCGGCGGTCGGCATTGCGCATGATGCTTGGGACAAACGCTACAGAGCTCATCGCCCTCCATGCACTACCGCCAGTCAGGTTTGCTATCAAGGAATTGGCTCAAGACCCCGCGCGAGCAGTATTCCTGCAAAAGATACAGTTGCATGGCCTCTTTGTCTGCTGCTACAGGTCTGTCCGGGTCCAGCAAAACTGTACAAGACAAGCTGCCTGCTCACATGGATTGCCTAGCCCACGTTCTTGCTGGACGATTTGTTGACTCTCGGACGATATGCGGCCGCACGAGCTTATTGTGCTCGAAGAAAAGCTCTTGTTAGACTGGTGGCAGTGTCGCTGTCAGCCAGACAGTCGGTTGGCATACTCTGGGAACACTTCTGTACAAGCTGGCTCGGCCGATACAACAACGATGGGGGCTGATTTGTTCGAGCCTGGGCGCCAGATATGGTGCTTTAGTGCGACTTTATCGAGGCGCCCGAGCATATTACCACGTAAGGCTACAGTGGGAAGGATCAAAATGGTTGTTTCAGCTCCCGCCAGGGTGGCTCCGACCATGAATACCAATGTCTTCCTCGAATCCGTTGCAAGAACGACGATGACCTGCTCAGGTGCACGTGGACCTATGGTCGCCAGCATGGCATCCCGCTGACCAGGGCGACGCTCAACTGTAGCTCTGGGTCGTTATGCAGCCTACGGGCGGCCGCGGTGATTCCATCTTCTTTGGCAGCCGGCCTTGCACGAAACCGTACCTTCTTGCAAGCATTGAATAGCCCTTGAGCTTGTGTATTCGATACGGCAGGGAGCCGCTTACTCTAGAGCACTCGATCAATCCGAAACAGAGACCGCCAGCTTTAAGACGCTCGATAGGCACGTTGAAGTGAGCTTGTCACGGTCAAGGTCGTGCTGCCGGCATAGCTATAGTTAAATGTCCGGAAACTATAATTGCTCATCCCGGCAAGGTACGCAAGATCCGCTTCATCCTCAACTTCTTCAGATACCGCGATCTCACCCATACCGAACTGAACCTGCTCCCTGGCGCTAAACTTCTCCTTTGTAACAGAAGTAGCAACTTGGCGCCCCCCTCCCCTTTGCCGCCTTGTCTTGCATCTGCAATGCACTGATGATGTCCTCCATAGCTTGTTGTTGTAGAGGGGTCTTTTTGATTATATCCTGCGGCACTACATGGCTTTCACCCTCTCTTGTGAAATGGCCATCCTCTCAACATACTACCTAGTAATAGTATGCTAACAGCTACTTTATGATCTGGAAGTAGGAAGTAAGCGATAACTTGTTCTTGAAGCTCCGGAACTTGCTAGCTTTTATACTATTTATATAGCTATTGTCGCTGCGGATCGCTGCGGAAATTGCTTAGCCTCTTTGCACGCTGCTGCGTTATCTTGTGATTAGATGACTTGTTGCTGTATAACTTATATGCGTCTCTGAGTATACTCTCCACTGCGGCAAGAATGCGTCCGAGATCTACGTCCGTATCAACTGCGCCGCCTTCTTCTTTACCGTTATCGTCATCACCACCATCGCCGCCGTCGTTATCGTTATCGTCCCCGCTTCTTGGTAATGCATACGACGATATGATCTCGGCATCGTGGAGACCCTACAGGTGTGTAGGGAACCTAGTATGGACAAGCCAGGGTACCCGATCAGCCCGTGACGCCTCGACATCTTGCACAATCTCGGCTTCCTTCTCTAGGTCGCGCGAGGCCTGGATGATGTTAGCCTTTAGCTCTTCAAAAAGCTTTCCCTCCTTCTGCGACGCGGACGCCGTGGCCAGGCCCGACCCTATTAGCACCCCTCCCGTTATTGGGAGAGATAGATCTTCTTTAACTACAAAGTAGTCGATGAGGCCCTTGGCCGTGAAGTATTTCTGGAGCTTGCATGCCCCCCAGAGAAGTATGGCGTCTGTATGCTTAGAGGCCTTCTTCCTATGAACAGGCATGTGATCATGTATCTTCCTGACCCGCCGCGTACAATAGTCACATTGGCCTTCTGTGCAGGTGCAGATGTAGCCTCCGTACGTGGTAAGACCCTCTATAGGCCGGTATGGCCTCTTTCTATCCGCCTTCCGCTGCCATATACCTCGACCGGCCGCAGTTCGTAGCTCAGAAATCGCTCGATTGTTAGTCGCAGTTCGTCACCTTTCATCCGGTGCGGCTCGGCCTTCAAGTGACTCCTCCAGCTTGTTGTCTTCGGAACCAGGCATATCTTACAGTACTAGGATATGGTAATTATATTTCTGATCTAACACTACCTACTAAATATACCAGAGCCTATTCGATCTCGAAATATCGAATTTTGCCCCTAGCAGAGGAGAACGTCTGGACCCGACATGTCTGAAACATTCCCTGTTCCTCTGCACTCATTGGCGAAATCCCTAATTTGTGTATGATCAGATGATCCCTGATCTTATTTGAGGATGATGTGAAGTGTGGCGTTCCGAAGACTTTGACGCAGACATTACACTTAAACGCAGTATGAACAGCCAATCCGGGGATCGGTGATATCTTCTCACGAGGGATGACGAGCTTCTTGAACGGGCAAAGTTCATACGTGTTGAAGCGTTTTATCAAAGCTTTGCAAGCGAGTCCGGTGATGCGGTGAGTGTTGTTCAGGTGCCTGTAAAACGCACCTTGCCCAGGTTGGACCATCGATTCACATGCAATACAAATCAGAATCTGATACTCAGAATTGTAGAGAAATCCGTCAGAATAGTTGGATTCGTTTTTTTCGTAACAAGAACCATCACTGTTCGTCCTAAGCTTCTTTGACGCCCGGTCCTTGTCATCAGGCTCTGCTGGTCTTTTTTGACAGAGTTCGTGAGCCACACTAGTGTTTGGTTTGATAGACCCTTGCAATTGAAGGCAGCATTCTTTGTAGTAACTTCGGCTCCATTCTTGCCACGTATCTGGTAGTCGACGATACATCTCTAAGAGCTCGGGTTGGAGTCTTTCTGGAAGAGCTCGATCAATAGCATATGTGGTCAGCAGCATGCGAGGATGATGACCTGCTCCCGCCGCAAACATGCGTATTGGATCAGCCGCGCTGGAAGGATAGTAGAAATTTGCCTTGTCAACCAGCTTTGTCAGATACCTCTTGGCGATTGCCAAAGCAGCTTGTCGGTACAGTGACAACGTCCATGGCGTGACCAGGTCTTGAGTTCTGCTTCTCAATATACTCGAAGCTTGCTCGGGTGATAGATGCTTCCTTTTGCCACCAGGGTCTAAGAAAAAGAAGTTTTTGCTGTCATGCCGCACTGTCTGCATCTCCCTGGCTAAAAATTCCCAGACCGGTCGAACGATAGCGAGATACTTCAAGAGGCTTAAGCTGAGGTCTGTAGGAACATAGCGAACGATGTAGAAAGCGTAATTGTTTGAAGCACGAGCCTTGTTGTAACTGATAACAAGGATCATCTGCCCGTCATAGAAAACCACATTGCGTACGGATAACTTTGAATTCAGGTATCGAATACTGGTTACCTCTGTCCTCCGGCCCGGCAGACCAGCTCTGAAGTGAATTGCTGCAAAAGCGGACTTGCTGAACTCGGTACCAGCACTGAGATACTTATGGCAAGTCTCTGCATTCCAGTGTCCCGACTTTGTGAAAGGTGTACCACGAAACGACGATTTCTGTAGCCTATGGAGTAGCGTCTTCCATATATCTACCAGATTATTCTCAATTTTGTCAATGAACGACCAGCCGGCTTTCCCAAATGTCAGATCATCTCGAATGGCGGGAAACGTCGATATTTGTCTCCGACCCTAACAGCATCTCACTTACTTGCTCGTATACTTCTTTTACAGCTTTATGATGAATCTCACAAAACTCTGATAGCCGGACCGTTTTGTCGTCACCGATTGTGAATGACCGCCCGTCAGGGGCCCAGGCTAGGTTGCCTGGCACTCCCTCTCGTTTTACGATAGACTTTGCGAATGCTTTCAGTTCAATCAGCTCTCCAAATGGTGCGTAGCAGCCCTGCAGTAGGTACTTGCAGCGGATAAACGAAATGTAGTCAGGTTATGACAGATAAGTTATCTGACAAGGCCAGGCAAGGTTAAGTATATCGTAGGCATAAACAAGGACGGCGTATTTGAGGGATAGGAGCCGGCCGATCCACACAAGGGCAGCTGGTCTGGATGACGAAGCATGGGCCGAATGAAAAGCCAAGGACGATCCGTGGATACCTAAAGCGGCTCTAAAATGGATGATAGCAGATGCAGACATATCTCCAGTGGGTTCCTGCTACGTCCAGAAGATCATCGATAATTAGAAAATGGCCTCAGATAGATGTAACCAAAGGCCAGACGGGAGAGAAAAGACCGGATCAGTATCTGTAGCATTTTCGACACAATTCCCGTTGTGGTCTTTGTTACTTTCGTTAGACTAGTCCTTAATCTCTGACTCTTTATAGTCAGTCAGATAATCTTCCTTATCTCCGTCATTATAGTCACTAGGCTCGCCTTCCTCTTCATCCAATGCTCCATTAAAGTTCAAATCCAGAGGTGCAGTCTCACGCTGCAAAAGAGAAACCAGATATAATGTATAGCGAATTATGATATTTTTATCACTTCAGAGTTATAAGTTAAAGATTTCTCGCCATTAGTAGTTATTAAAATTAGAAACTCTAAACACGTAATAAATAAACCGTTTCTATATATTAATATAGTTTCTTATGTATCTAATAATCCTGAACTTGTAAGGCTAAAAGTTGTCTTTCTAATAGGTATTTATCCAACATTGAGACCTGTGTGAGGTTTTTAAGAGCGTGAATATTACACGATTAATCATAAGGTTAATATCGCGAAGTATAACTTGTAAATAAGCTTCTACAGCGGCCGGACTTCAGAGTGGTTTACCGTGCCATTAACCTAATAGATAATCCTTGTTTTATATTAGTTTAGGCTTCCTTGCTGCGGCCGCAATAATAGCAAGTAACTGGTTATAAAATAAGCAAGACTACCCTGTAAATTGTAGCCATGGAGTTGTCCTGTTCTGTTTGATATTGTGATAAACTGACGGATAATTATAACGGAGCTCCAAAGGCTACATATTTAAGAACAGCGCAAGTTACCGGATTAGTGAGATAATATTATATAGTGTAAGTATATGGCTTTTAAGGATAAAGGTCTATTGAAAAGGGTCAAAGCTTTATTATATATACTGGACTTATACCCCTATCTTTACAGTACAGTTGCGAAATGCGTGTGGTTAAAATGTTGATTTTTATAAAGGCTTTCAGGAGGTAGTATTGTTTTATGCTATGAAGGTAAGTCTAACTATGAAGGGTACGACGGAGGAAGAGGCTGACTAATGAGAAGGTGTATTATTTACCTTTAATTAAAAAGCTAGCTAGAAGATTAATAACCCCGTCACTTTTTTGGCGAAAGAGGATATACAGGGGTGTAAGCCAATGAAAGACCGTGAATTTCCTCTTTTACCGAAAGTGAGCCGGATAAAAGGGGTGTAGACTAAATAGTAAAAATAACTGAGCTATCTGGAAGCGTACCTTCCAGGAGGCCGAAGCGTGAACTGCCCATAGACCAGGTAAGCCAGCCAGTTGCTACCGTTCGCCACTCCTTAATATAGAGAAGCACGTCATCCCTGATCTCTTTGTTTGCAGTGCTTGAATTATAATAACCAACCATCAGCTCAATCTTCTTCAAAGAATCTCCAAGTCTGGTTAGTACGGTATCAATTCCATCTTGCAGCTGAAATGAGGGCGATGAGTGTACGATCAGTGGGATTATGTTCTCATGGAAATCTCCCCTTAACTATCTATAGTTTAATAACTTCCAATGATAGCTGCTATGCAGGGACCGACATACCACTTCTTTTTTACATGAAAAGAGGTCATTTATGCTTTCGGTTCACCCTTAGTAGGTACTATTTAAAAGTTGAGACGAGTCCTGTATTACTTACTAGATAAGTATAAGGCCGCACTCCTCCTGAATTTGCATTCCCTCCGTAGTGGCCTTGAAAGCCTTCGAGAAAGTGATTTGGTTCATATACCTGGGGCAAGAGTCAATAAGGACTATTTTCAAACGAAATGTCAGACAGTACTCGAAAAAGATGACGTATAATCTGAATCCGAATGCTCTCACGCGTATTTTGAGGTATTCTTCTGGAGTCGGCATATGGGCTAGGGACCTCTGGCAATCTTCCTCATAGACCGCCATTATCCATCTGTTAAGATAAACATAGGTACAGTCCCGGTCCTCTGCATTCAGTCAGTAATAAATCTATTAATTACCCAAGACTAGCACGCAACGTACCCTGGGTCAGGGACATCCGTAGTCCTTGCCCGTAAACCTCGAAAATCGCCATGAGAGGGGTTGGTGGGGTAGTAATGGCGCCATCGGATATGTACTGTTTGCTAACATCCAAAGATTGCTGAATGAAGCGCAAAGAATCGAGAACGAAGACTTTAGAAGACTTCTCTCCGGAAGTTTTACCTCTGCCCATGTCCATTTGATCATCCCATAGGTAGCCCCATGTGATGAAGGCACCTATGACGCGGAGCTTCTCCCATTTTGCATATGGAAATTGGCTACAGCCCTTGTTAGTGAGACGTTGACATAATCTTCAACTATGTAACATACCAAGCTATCAGTTTTCCAAAGTCGGCTTTAATGTACTTATCAGAAAGTGCTGTATCCCTAATAGCACTAAAAAGCCATAGTCAGCACGGGAGAGCTATTGCAACCATCGGCTTCTTCTTACCTAGCTATCCAGGTATCAATCTCTTTGACGAGCAGGCTGTAGTGTTTGTTCGTCTCTATTGGGTATTCTGAAAACATTGCCACCACCGGTGGGATCTCGGCTTCCTGGCCTCTGATACGATGTGCCAAAGTTTCATGTTCTTGATCAAAGTTAAACTGCATTTCTAGAGAGGATATTAACCAAGTTGTTCGAGGACAAAAGTACGCTAACTCAAACCCCCAGAATAGCTGTAAATTTACTTACTAGGCGTTCCGATTTGAAGTCTTATGGATAAACAGGTTGATAAGTGTGAGGCGAGTTAGAATTCTTCAATAGAAGGTGTGGTAAAGAGTAGGAATGAGCTGTGAGGTAGAGAGCATAATAGTCTAAATATACACGAAGTTGCTACGCATGATCGTCATTTGGATAAGGCAGTGGCCCAGGCGGTTCAGGATGAACCCCGCTTAAAGTATGTGGCGACCTTTACTTGGAAGAGGGTGGTAGGCAGATTATCTAGGATGACGTGGCACCTATAAACGTCATCCCTACGACATATGGTGACGCCATTTGAAGATTTGAAGGAAAACAGGATAAGTTCTTTCTATTGGAGGGTCGGAATATGTAATGTCTGGTATAATGAGTGTGATGTAGCTGGGTGGCAGTTGGGTGGGTTGGAGAATCCCTGGAATGATATTATTTGTGGATCACTACTGAGCTTACAGACCGACGGCTCGTGCCATGAACATGTGATATATTACTGATATGTGCTAGGCCTTAAGTATATATCTGAAAGTATTGCTTCATACTATACTGCTCCCTGTCCAGCTACTACAGGTCTTTAGTCTTAAAAAGGGGCCTTATATTAAAGAAAGAAATAACTTACAGTTTTAAGATACTTTCCGAAAATAATACATGAGATCCTGTATATTAGTTTTAATTATTAAAATTGCTATTATCTTTATAAAATTTATGATAAAGAATTAAATAATTTCATTATGAATAATTTTAATATTAATATAAAATATATATTTATATAAATATTTATTTAACTCCAAGTTCGTGATACACCGTCTTTAAGCTATCCCATGTAGGCGTTCTTTAATTCCTTGCTATTAAATATATTAAGAAAAGTTATTTCGTTTACCTCTAAAAATTAATTTCTAATAGCTCTTTTATGTAACGGTTACACTTAATGTAACGGTTGCACAAGCCGTTAAACCACAGGGCAAAAGATCGGGCCATAATCGCTATGCAAGCAATTATGGGTGTGCTACAGCTGCCTTATAGAAGCCTTACAGCGCTGTTACGGGCACGAATCGTAACACTTAACCATTACGCCATAGGGCAAAAGATTGGGCTATAACTGCTATTATAGCAATTGCAGTAGTGTATACAGCTACTTATAGAAGCCTTACAGCACTGTTAAGGGGACGAATGATAATATTTTAAGCCTCTTAAGGTTATTTTTCTTTTATAAGCTAAAAGATACTAGTTATTTAAAGTGAGAAAGTAAGTTTATTTATCTAATTAAAATAGTAAATTAAAATAATAAATTAATATAATTAGTTTATAATTAAAAAGAGCTATTTTAATTTACTCAGTATTATCTAATTTATTAAAAGGGTCTATTATGGCTATTGTCTTTATATAAATATCCTTAAAGTCTTTATCTTTTTCTGTTACTTTAGCTCTATTAAAGACAGGGTTAATTAAGAAAATTAGGTTATTGACTATTTTGAAAGAGAGCCCTTAGTGCCACTACAGGCTATTATATTTGTGTTATGTTATAGTATTAGAATTATAATCAAAGTTGATAATAGGAATTTAAGTCAAAAGCTAAATAACTTTATCAATCCTTGAGATTTTAGTTACAGATATCTTAGCTTATATATATCTATCAAATGAAAAAAAAAAAAAAAAAAAAAACCGCCAGCTACTAAGCAGCGCTTTTATATATGTATAAATAAGGTTATGATATAAATTATATTAGGGTTACTTTTAGTAATCGCGGACACACTTGCTGTCAATTTTCCTGCCTCACCACCAGGACCAGCAATCACAATCGGTGGTGCCTTGCCAAGACTAGCACCGACCGGCCCATCACGGCCTAACAGTCAGCTCTCATAATTGAATGACCACATGACTCAGTCGTCGGCAATTCGACGGCCTACTGAAGGCTTTCTATCTGGTATCTAAAGAAATAGGGCGTTGCCTTCACTTCCTGCTGTCTTAGCCCTAATCAGCATTCGGTTCAACTTCTTCGCCAAGGCAGGCTGGGCCATCCTTCTTTAAACGGCAGCAGCGATGATAGAGCTTTCTGGTATCGCGTCATAAAGCTAGCATACCCTTGCACCAGCCGCTAAAAGATCTAAAGCGGGGCGGGCCGATCTTGACTACAAGAATCTAGTATTGCAAGATTGGCTTTTCGGCTCTCTACTATTGACTTCGAGCATTGAATATTATCACACCTGATAGACAACTGGCACACAGCCGCATTTATCCGCCCCCCCATCATTGAGCTCATCGCCTGCTGTCTGCATCACATGACGCTTAACGAATTCCAAGGCTCAGGCGACATATTACAGGGATGTCTGCAAGTTCAGTCCCCCGTTGCGTAATCTCGGCCTGTTTTCTCCTTGTTGATGCTGATTGAGAATATACGGCCGCTTCCCTTTTATTTGTTTTGATGCACCTTTGTAAGCAACTGTCGCATTTTAATGAATCACAACATGACTCGTCCACTTATGAGACAAGAGACAAGAGACAGCACAAAGAGCGCATCGGCCCCGCACAAGTCATTGCTACAATGCAGCCTGATCTCAACAGCATTACTTATCGCATTACATAAGTTTTCACTGACGTGGCAGTCATTGCGTTCTGTACCCCCACCTCCTGTCTCGTCTAACGCATCATCTTTCGCGAACAGGTACGCTTCCGGTATTCTTATGAGGCTGACGTGCAGTTTTGAGCAATTGTCCAAACTGGTCGGAAAGCCCTCCGGCGACAGTGTACATGTCAAGGTAGTACTGACCCCGCCACGTAGCATTGTGAAAGCAAATTGTAACGAAGAGCTGTGGATCTTTAGATGAAGGAGAAGCGTGGGTTTTAACAGAACTATAAAGGTCTCCGGAATGATGAATCACTCTACCGTCAAGTTGGAACCAGACTTTCATTCAAATCCTTCTTTACACGAGCTTTGGGAGACTCTAAACAACATAGACTCTCTGCCAATGCGTACGATATCTGCATCTCGTTGCCTAACTCGAATAGAGTCAAAGAATATCCCAGCGATGAAACTTGAGTATGGTTGAAATGGACGTCAAGAAGTACTTCTTGTTCTCGTATTATTGATGGTTTACTGGTATATCACTCAACAGAGGGAAGCCAAGGTCAAACATGTAACGCTTTTAGGATATATCTGAGTGACAAGTACGATCGCTTAGGGGCATCTAAATCCATATATACGATGCGGAAACAGTCAAGTTCAAGAGAATGACGCTCTTTATATCTCTCTTATAATAAGGCTTCATGGTCTTCCCTACCCTCCTTCAACGATCAAAAATAGTGACGTTTGAAAATACTGTCTCTGTTTACTATTGACTTGTATGGAATGGCTCTTAATTGTCCTTTCCGTCAGTCATCTAATAGCTTAGTTTTATTGATATCTAAGATTGTTAAGTATTTAGACTACATTTTATCGAGTATAGACCTTAATTTGTTACGATTAGGACTTACAATACGAATTGGAATGGCGGCGCAAGCCATCGGCCAGAATTAAACCCCATTCGCGTCTGGACGACTTGAGTAGAAGCGAGATATCTTGTTAGTAGTAGGTGACTGCTTCCATAGGCTTTGCCTCATCAGGATCTGATTGATCTGCAATCGAGCTCGTGAAACGGCTGGTTCGTCTTGCTCAATGCTGATGGTTATTCCGAAAGGATGTGCTGCACAGCTCGGTCATTCGGTGCTCAGATGGGCATGATGATCAGTGTGATCTGAAATCAAGTCTGAGCGACACCTTACTTCACTACCTGGGACTTGCTGCGCTCGCGGATTGACAAAGCTCGCGTGTATACATTGTTGTCGGCGTATGGCAGCGGCTTACAGTCAGGGGCAGCCGAGCGAGGTGTCTGTTCCAGCGTCATACGGTCATCTAACGTTGAATTGCTTATGGATAGCCAAGTCTGTCTGATTGAAGAACCCAAGAAGACGGCAAACTGTTGAGTGAATGAGACATTCGTCACTCCTTCTCCTGAATTTCTTTCTGGTGATGACGACGTTGGAGCTATGATCTTTCGGGATGCCTTGAGTCATCGACACGAACGTCGTTGAGGATATCTAATACAGTTCTTCTCTTCAACCCTTGTTGTCGTACATTTATCGAACATGCTCGACCGTTTGATTATACTGTTTAAATAGACTCATTTCAAGATTCCATACAAGTTAATTAGCATACTGAAAATATTCAACTACTGTAGTGGGAGGTATGTATCATCTTCTCACGGAGGCAATATAGCGGGAATAACCAGTACTACCTAGCTGTATTCTGTAACGAGCTTGAATATATCGAGCGGACCTGAATAAACCTATGAGCTCGTAGTTTTTCTTCTTCCATGGTTCCTTCATGATGTTATCTTCTGGACTCATACCACAATGTTCACTAATCGTTCCATTCAAAACCATGTCACTCGATATACGTGGCAACCTCCAAGATGTTCTATCGTTTTTCATGAAGGAATGGCCCATTGTCATTAATATGAAAACCTGTCGCGTCGCCTGGAATGCCAACTCACCCGCAGTGTAGTTGACTAGCAACGGCATGTCTTCGTAGCCTTCCATCATCTTCATGGTTCACAAGTTTCTCGTTGTCAGCTACTCCACTGGCTACAAAGCCTCGGTGGACATACCAAAGTCGCGTACAACACGCTGAGGGGGAGTCATTTGTACCAGAAATTGGCGTAACAATGAGTGAGGCCTTGACACAGCATCCATTTCTTCCTGTTTCGCCTCAAGATGGCTACGTATAGCATACTGTTTGCCTTCATTGTGAAGCATTTCACGATTCTATTTCGTCCTCTGAAGTATTTCTTGATTAATTCGGGGGAGAGACCCAATGGCTTCCGCGAGGGCCATAACATTATGGCGAGACGGCAGGATGATGGTGGGTCGGTTGGGGATACCTGGTGGCCGACTAGATGTCGATAGGATGGAAAGGCGTAGATAGTCCTGATACCGCTCAGCGTTGATTGAATCAGAAAACCGCCAAGGCAACACAAGCGTTATCTTCCCTCGATGACTCCACTTAGTCCCGATAAGATCCATCAAGCAATTCATGGCTTGCTCACAAATTCTGTTTTTCTCCGTTGCCGTGGTTCCGTGTATCAAGCTTTCATGAATGACTAACTGTACCCAGAGTTGTGTAAAGACGTTGGAGCGATCCTGATACTCTATGGCGTTCAGAGCACCACAGATCTGGGGCGACGGCGTATAAGGGGTTTGAAGTTGATAGTTGGCAACAGAGACCCAGGAGGAAAAGTCAACACATTGTGGTGGCGAGAAATAGGGTGCCCAGTATTGTATCCGAAAAAATGCCACTTTCTGGTACCATGTCCGAGGTCTCTAATCTGTGGTGACGTCTTTGCTTGAGTCGCTATTAAATGCGACTAGGATGTATCTTCCAATTACGCAACGAAAATGATCATGAAATGGATCTGTGTAGCTCTCGACTATTCCCCACAGAGCTTTGAACTTCCGGTAAAGATTCAGGAAGTAGAGATTGCTCCAAGACGCGATATTCTCACAATCAAATTCGTTTTTCGCTTGATTAAGAAAATGTCTCAAAAATAGCTCGATACTAATACTAAATACAGCAAGACGCTGCACATTCATCTGAGATAGAAAGCCTCGCTGGATGGGATTTCGAGGTACCAAATTTGGATAAGCTTTTCGAAAGCAATATGTCCAGAGCATCCCTGACCTTTGAATAGTCTCATTTAAGCCGAGGCCGAGGCGCTCTCGCCGCTCTCTGGTGTGGTGTGTTCGGCTACGTGCAGTCCATCGCGAAAGCCAAATCCAATTACCATACGGGAATTGCTCTTTACTGGTCAGCGCATAGGTGAGAAGTCGGCAAAACAGCTGGGCTGTATAGAAAGCAAGAATCAGAGAAGGTGGTGAAATAGTGTTGGAGATGTGAGCTTCGCGAAATAAGTGATCTAGAGGAACAATGAATCTAGCAGCTCGCGTGAACACAAGATCGTTTATGTCTTTGGTAGATACGACCCAGAATGGTTGGTGATTGGTGCCAGTAGATGTAGGGGAAATTTCGAGAGACCCTTGGGCCATATCAGGATTTTGGCTTGGCTCAAAGTAGCCGTCATGCCACATTGTAAGAATCACGTCAAGCCGAAATGTCCTCTCTTTACGGATGCCATAGTTTGTTGAGTTTCTTGCATCCATGGCAGCTTTGATATGACGTTTGTTGGCATCCCACGCTTCGATAGAGCATTACGATGGACGTGGAAGGTTGGTGCTTGATGGCGGCCCTGATCGGCCGATGAAAGATCGCTGATCATACTCTGATTCAAAGCAAAAAGGGGAAGAAGCCCCGAGCCAAATAATTCGTATTCACTAAACATGACAGCGAAGACTTCTTTGTCACAGCTGTATGCCTTGGCACGAATAATGCCTGGCTTGTGCTCATCTGGATGGCCTGGGTTCGATGCGCGCGTACGCTTCGCTTTGACTTGGTAATCTCCAAGTTCACGGAGCAAAAACCGCTGAAAAGTTTGAGCATTCATCGGGGACGTGGTTACACATCTGTACAACTGCTCATATAGATAAGGATGGCACTGACTCTTCCAAAACAGAGTGTAAGGTTTTGGCATCACTTGGCTAGAAGATGGAGGTGTCGCGATATAATCACGAGTCCCGATATGAATCCAGCAAGAACTATTGGGGCCATAGGAGCCCGTCTCACCAAACACTGTGGACAGAGGGGGAATAAATTCTCGAAGTTGCTCGACGCGCTCCCGAAGAGAGTCAGAGAGCCCGGCCACGTCACCCTCAACCGATGTGTACCTGGTCCAAACACTCAGTATTATATTAACCGTGACACTAGGTTATTTCAACATACAATTACACCTAGAGTTATAGAAGACCTTAAAAATCTGGTCGTAGGCACGGTTAGACGGGTCGAGGAGCTCGGGGGTCCATCCAGTATTTCCTTGTCGAATATAGTCGATGAAACTTTGCGAGGCTGAGCGGCGGGCAAAGTAGCATCATCACCCAAGCTATCTTGAGGTTCGACGCTAGAACTCCCCACATCGGCCTGCTGAAACACGATAGGATGTTGTACAGACATACTTGTAGTGGCACGACCGTGATGATTTGTCGATTCCGATGGCCTTGGTTCAGTCGGGGGTATCGTCGGTGTAATGCGTAACCGATGCCGCCTGTAGCGAAACTCTCGCACGCGTTGTCTCGTGAGAGCTCGCGTCAATTCAAGAGGTGCCGTTCGACGCACGCACAAAGACGCTGAGTTTACATCCTCAGGTGCAGCAGCCTATTGCGTGCCATTCTGTATATCTATCAGCTGTCCAGAAGAACAGGGAACGACCTCAGGATCAATTGCATCACAGGTTGTTGGGCAGCAGGACGCTCGGTTATCGAGACCTGGTGCTGATATAACGCTTCCATGAGCAGTCGATACGGGAGTTGAAATCGGAATCGACACTTGATGCGTCGAAGGGCTGATGGTGTTCATATCAGGCCCGACGTGATGGCGCGACGCGTCCCCAGCCAACACCAAATTGCGTGTAGGGTCCACCATGCGAACCCCACTATGGCCTGAATATTCCTCGCGAACCAGCGCTTGTTGCATTTGGCGCTTCAGGAAACGGCGATTTCTCGCCCGTTCACGCTCGCTCTCGATCTTATTTGGATTCGTGACGGCTCGGCGACCCATCGTTCATCAGAGGCTTGGGAAACATACTCATATGGCTGTGGCCGAAAACGGCACCTTGAGGCCGACTTTCACCAGCCCCTGTTATTTAAGTTTTAAATGTGGGGTGGTGCCCCGCGCGGCTGAACTGTAACGGTTTAGCATGGTCTTATGTCATTTATATAGTTATGCTTAACTTGTGAAGGTTTTGCATAATATAACCCCAGTGGGTTAAAGCAGGGTTTAAAATTGTTATTCGGGTTACTATTGGCTCTTAGAGGAGTTGCAGGGATACCGTCCATTTTAAACAGAATTTATTTGGCTGCGACAAGGCAGGGGAAGAACGGCTCGACTAATGCTTACCCTGTAGTTACTATTTCTTAAGTTTCACGACCGATTTTAAGCCCATCAAAGCATCAATGGATAGTTTTGTAATAAAGCAGGATCTTGAATGTTCTTTTATTCGCTTTAGTCCATATTCCAATGCGTGAAATCGATGGTGTGATGTTATTGCGTTGTGTAAAGCTTGCTTGAACCCGTACCACACAAAGGCTAGACACCGAAACCCTGAGCCTTACATCGATAAATGATATTATGTAAGTCACCTGGATCGGGAATTGGCAGCTTCAGTTTTTATACCCCGGGGGTACGAATAGGTCATATATATATAGTGCGCTTCCTCAGAGACTTGACTTGGTAGACGTCGATTTGTACCCCAGGGTTGAAAATCATAGGCCACCTTTTCTGAATACGACACGACCTCTTGGTTTGTATTCTGGGGTTAAAAACTTATGGTTCCACTTACTTCACACAACCCTCTAAAGCCATTTAATTTTACTCTATTGACCTACCTTGTGACCCATTTTTACGCCACAACCTAAGCTAAAACGCTTGGGAGCCAAGGTCATCATCTTTGGCCATCTTTGGCCTAGACGCAACAAGAGCAACATCCCACAACTTAATCCCGTACAGTCTCAATCTGCCGTACTTCGAAGCCCTCCTTTTGCAACTTGACTTCTTCGACCCTGGCATCCAGGTCACTCATGCGCTTCTGCGAGGTGCCCGGCACAAACCAAGACGTGCTCGAAAACAAGACATTCATCTCTTCAAGCGGCAGCAGCTTCGTCTCTGGCATGAACGCCCAGAAAAAGATGGCGTTGGTGAAATTGCAAACCACGAATACCAGGAAGTACCTCCAACCGATGTTCTCGATAGCCGGGGCCGTAACCTGTCCAATCATGGTGTTGAAAGCGAATGAGGCCATGACACCGATAGAGATGCCCTTGGAACGGGTCTTTGTGTCAAATACCTCGGCGGGAATGATCCACGAAAGGGAGCCGCAGGTGAAGGAGAAGCTGACTTGATAGCACCAATTGGTGACAATGAAAAGCCAGCCAAGTGAATTTTGCATCGAATGCGAAACGTGAGGGAAACTAGCCTGAGCTGCGGTAACAATGACGAAGCAGATACAGTTGATACCGTTGCCGACGATTAACGGCCAGCGACGACCAAGTTTATCAATGAAAAGCACGGTACAGAGCTGCGCAAGAACAGAGAGTACGTTGCTGATGGCCTGATACTTCAATGAATCTGTGGTGTCAATGTTCATAGCTTTGTAGATATCCGGGGTGAAGTACTGGATGGCTGATACACCGGTCATCTGGACGGAAGCCTGCAGGGCGGTGACAAGAAAAAGTCGGCGGAAGCTCGCACGGTCAGTAAATAAATCCCGGTAGCCTTTTGCTTCGAGTTCGTGCTCGTGAGAAATAGTAGTCTGGATTTGGAGGTACTCGGCCTGGACCCAAGGGTCATTTTCGTTTCCATTGGTGTGAAGTTTAGCTAAAGTCTTGAGTCCTTCCTCCTCCCTGCCGTGGTCAATCAGCCAGCGGGGTGATTCCGGGAAGAGCAAAATCATGAGAGCAAGAATGCCGGCAGGAACAATTTGAAGGCCAAGGGGGATACGCCATTGCTCGCTTGTGAGGAAATGCAGGTTGGTGCCATACACGGTCCATGCTGGGTAAAGTAAGTCGCCGGGTTTCAAGGATATACGTATCTAAACTCACTTGCGAAGACGGCTCCAATACCAAGCATCAACTGTTGCAGGCCAGTTACTCGACCTCGGATGGAGGGGTGAGCGATCTCGGCTTGATACATGGGCACAATCATGACGAGAATGCCGACACCGAATCCACCAATAGCTCGACCAGCATAAAAGAAGGACAGATTTTGGCCGGCTGCTTGCAAGGCACCGCCAACACAAAAGATGATGGCTCCAATCATGATGGCCAGTCGTCTGCCCAGCCAGTCACCCATTGGGCCAGCCGCGAAAGCTCCAAAGAAGCCACCTCCAGTGAAGAGGGACACAACGGCACCGCTATGAAGTGGTCAGCAAGAGCGAGATGCAAGACATTTTCAACAAAGTATACGTACACTTCATCGGCATTCGGATGGAACATCGATTTAAAAGAGGTTGAAGCAACACTGCCTCCGATAACGCCAAGATCATAACTATGAACATTAGCTTATCTATTATCTCATTAATTTTGTGCATTCTACCCGTAGTTAAATGATCCGAGCGAGGCGAAGATGCCGACGAGAAACTGATAGGTTTTGGGAGCAATCATGGTGGATGAAGCCTTTCTTGATTTTTCTTAGGTGCAAACTATAGAACGTGCGACGAGAGAATGAAGTTTTTATAAATAACCAATTGCCGTGCTAGCACGGAGCCACTCTGCAAATCGTATAGAGAGAGGTATGGGCGCCACTAGTCTTCGGTCTGGACCCCAAAATCCCCACCCTGCAACCAACGCTATTGGAAATTAGTTACTAGACTGCACACACTCACTGTTCGATCATTGGCTCGGCTGTACAGTTGCGGGCCACCACTGATACCAGCCAGGTCATTATGTCTTTTACCTGCGGATACGGTGCTACCTAGTCTGAGACTTTCTCCATTTGCTTAACCTGAATGATCCCACTATATCCCATATAAATACCCGGATTGGGCGAATGAGTAGAGCCATCACCTGCCCCGCCGAAGTCTTACCACACATAAGCTCGGTATTTTGGCACTAACGTAAACGAGGACATGCGCAGCAATTAGAAGAGGAGAATCGTCCAGCTGTCACGCCACCTCAATTCCAATCCAACCTTTTTTCTGATCTATTCAAACCGATCACATGCAACCCTACAACAATCAACATTCGGGGTAAGGTCTGGGGTCCCAAGTCTTGGCAGCATGATAACCCCGAGATAAGGTCGGGGTTTGGCAGCAAAATTAAACGTGGGCTGAGGGGTGAGCTGATAGCTCTGCGCTAAACTCTCATAAAAGTAAAACGTGGGTTGGCCAACCCACAGTCACAATAAATAATAGGCACATGACGCGAGGAGAGACCCTTGTGTAAGGTATTAATTAGTGCGCTGCCTTATAGAGCCAGGACTATTACTATTCAAGTCAGTCCGAAGAGTTTGTCAGTGAGCTATTGGCGCGTTAAAATAAAGGTTCAAGACTAGTCCGTCATTACAAGTCTTGTTTAGGTTGGCCTGAACGTATGCAGAGGGCCGAATTCACAAAACCTGGGGACCCCAGATTCTCCAAAATATCGTAATGCGCTCCAATCAAGACCAAGCTCGCTAGTCATTGTAAGGGGAGCGCCCCAGACCTAGAGCTTAGCGCGCGGAGCTTCTATCAGCACATGACGCGGGGAAAGACTCTTACGCGAGGTGTCAATTGGTGCGCTACCTTATACAGCCAGGACTATTACTATTCAGAACAGTTGGAATAGTTTGCCAGTGAGCTATTGGCGCGTTAAGATAAAGGTTTAAAGCTAGGTCAGCATTACGAGTCTTGTTTAGGTTCGCCTAAGCAGCAACATTCTACGACTTTGATAAAGTTTGGATTAGCTTAGAGTTCAGAGAACTTTTAAAAATATAACGCTAAATCGACAAGGGTTTGCTGCCATAATGCGAAGATACTTAAACAGACATTCCTCCGCCTTTCCTAGCATTCAGCAGATCACTCTATCTATACATTTCACAGTACTCTCTTCATCATGCTTAGCATTAAGGCTTCCCTGTTATTGTCATGCTTGGCTCTCCTCAGCCCTGCATCATGCAGAGCCATAGAGGAACGGGCCGTTGCGGATCATGCCGTTACGTTCCAGACCATTTACAAGCCTCCCTCTAACTACAATACTCCCAAGACGCTGTATGGTCGAAATGTCCAGCTTGCTGATGGAACTATTCTTGCTACTTGGTTAGTTAATCCGGATGATCCGGTAAGGCGTAACCTAACATAATCTAGGGAGAACTACAGCCCAGAGCCACCTATGGTTTACTTCCCCATCTACCAGAGCAAGGACAAGGGATCAACCTGGGCGCCCCTATCTAACGTGACTGATACCAAGAATGGCTGGGGTCTTCGCTACCAGCCCTTCCTATACGTTTTGCCCCAGGCCATAGGCAATCTTGTCAAGGGAACTATCCTCCTTGCTGGAAACAGTATCCCCACTGATCTCAGCAAGACTAAGATCGACATCTATGCTTCTACTGATAGTGGCAAGACCTGGAAGTACGTCTCTACCGTCGCCACGGGAGGAAAGGCCGTTCCCAATAATGGTGAGACTCCCGTCTGGGAGCCTTTCCTGATGGTATATAACAACAAGCTCGTGTGCTATTACTCCGATCAGCGCGATCCCTCATACGCTCAGAAGCTGGTTCATCAGACCTCTAGCGACGGTGTCACCTGGGACACTATCGTCAACGATGTTCGAGGAACTAATTATTCTCAGCGTCCCGGCATGACAACCGTTACTAAGCTTCCAAATGGAAAGTGGATGATGACCTTTGAGTACCCCGGAGGTGCTTCGCCTAACAACGACGGTTTCCCCGTTTATTACCGTATCTCCGACTCCCCTCTCACCTTCGATAGTGCATCCAATCAGATTCTTACAGCCGGTAGCCGTGTGCCCAGTTCTTCGCCTTATCTCACCTGGTCGCCTTCCGGAGGACCTAGTGGATCTCTGATCGTCACTGCCAACAGTGATAATGGAATTTACATCAACACCAACCTTGGCGATGCGGGTTCTTGGAAATACTATGACATTCCTCAGCCCGGTGCTTATTCTCGACAGGCTATGGTCATGGATAATCCTGATTGGCTCTATGTCATGAGCGCTGGATATCTCGGTGGTAATAACTGGGTCACCGACAGTGTCTTTAAGCTTCCCAACCTCTCTTAATTGGTCGGAGCTAATTGTTCATTCCGGGAAACTAGTATCAGTCAGATAGTTGCTAGCGATAGTTTATCCACGAATCATAGGATGAATCTTCATTACCGTAATAATCAAATTCTGATTCCAAGTAGGATCTTAAGTGATAATTTCAACCTATCTATATACAAGATTAGGCTACTTTTATATAAAACTAGATACGATACTGGCAGCAGATCTAAAGATTATTAAATAGGCTATTTAACCTAGTGCTATAGAAGAATAGGGCAATCATCTGAGATGCAAGATACAAGTGGTTACATACCTACATTAAAAGTATGCATCATTCATAGCAGACATTAGTAACCAACATAGCAACCAAACAGAAGAACACAAAAAACAACATAGCAGTTTCTCCTGTCCAAGCGACAAGTTATGGATCTGCCTCGAGGGTCTCGATTTGTGAACGCACAGGCAGGTCTCGGTAAAGCAAAATGACCTTTGTGCCCGGGGCGTTTTAGGGTTAGGATAGGGTTAGTATTAACTATCTAAGCTATCTTGGCTCTGGTGTTGTTGGCAAGCTTATCTATATATTCTCCCCTCTCCCCTCCTTTAGAGAGAGGGGAAGGTCTGTATCTATATCCCTCAGCTTGCCGATAACTAGCCGAGGTATTACCTAGGCACAAGCGATCATTCCATTATTCCAATCTAACAATTTTAGTCTAATGTGTGATTTTAGTCTGGACTTGGAACGTAACGAAGCAATTGAGAACATTGTGCCTTAATCAGACGATACCGAGAGCCCACAGCATGTCGAGCCCAATAACAACAAAAGCCCATTATGCAACCTCAGATGCAGGTTAGGCGGTCCATGCACGTTTTGCACCTCCATCAGCTTAGACCCCAAGGAGAGTAACAGTATCTGGGATTGCATGGCCGTTATCTAGGGCAGGTATTTTGACAAAGTATCGGTAGGCTGGCGACGGGAGAGACCAAGAATAATCTTTTGGCGAACTGGCATTGTTAAGTAGGTATAAAAGGGAGCCAGTGATCATACTGGGTAAAATTACCAAAGAACAAACACCTCGATCAGCTACATCACTACTCCATTCACACAGCATGTCAGACGACCCAAAAAACAACCCCCCGCCCTCCACGTCTGAGCCTTCAGACAAAGATAAGAAGGAATAAAAAGGAGACCGTTCCAAAGAGAACCCTCCGGCTCGTGGTGCGGCGACTTGATAACAGAAAACAAGATCCATTATTAACTCCTTAAGACGATGATGGGAAGGACAACAACGAGGACGCGATAGACCTTCTTCCTGGGTTCAAAGGCGTGATTGTATTCAAGTGAAGGGCGATAGCCGGATCAGTATGTAGTCGATAGGACTGTGAGTGAATAGAGAAGTGCCTTGATTCATCAGCAACCCGGACTCGGGACTCCAGGCAAGCCATTTTAGCCCAAGTCCATACCCACCCATCGAGACCTGACACGGTTCTGCTCTTTTCTTGATCACTGGCACGACAATTTGATACTTACCAATCGGCGTCAAGAGCGTGCCAGATTCGTGGTGAATTGCATGCGCTGAGGTCCGGCATAGTTCTCCTTTATTGAGAAACTTGAGTGATATCTGCACTATTAGAGATGACATGACGCCCTGAAGAACACCTACCAAACTTCTGATTGCTTCATCAACTACAGCTTGATGGGCAGTTGACCACTCGTAGGCATAGAGATCTACTTCGCTGGTGAGGCCGGGAGGCGCTGGGTTGAACCCACGCAGTTGACTGGCTGAATTGAGTACTCCCTTCTGTAGGTTCTCGGATATGTCAAAAGTATCGAAGTGCTGTATAGACCGAAGAGGGGGCGTGATAGGGGGAGGCAGAGGGGGGAGACACGGGTCAAGTCTGTGGGTACGAATTGCCAAGGAGAAGTGTTGAAACTCCTCTGCTAAGAAGAGACGAGTCCCTAAGGCTCTACAAATACGATCATACCTACAATCTCGCCTTAGTTGTTATCCAATACAGAGCGTGGGAATCTTACTCAAGGTCAGGACGTATGTAGTGAAGTAAAAATGGGATGTAAAGGACTATGGAGCCTTGAGCCTCTGGCGGAGGTTTAGTGATCGGGATAGACTGAAAGAATCGGTCTTGGTGTTCTCCATATTGTCGCATATGTGCGATGTCGTTTGGTACTGCCAGGTATTAACGCAGGCTGGTGCAGGCTATGGTATCTTACTTACCGTAAAGAATCAGTTCCAGCGCACGGTGCCGAAGCCCCTGCACGTATAATTTGTCAAGAAGTTCAATCAGCCTGCCCACTGCGAGCAAATATCTATCCAGCGTGCTTGACGGGAGCTTAGGGTTACCCAAGAACTGTCTCAAAGTTGAGTAGACTGGCTCTTTGTCACTGGCTTCATGCAAGTCGACACTGCAGCCTGCCAAGAAAACGATCTTGTGTAGATTGCTCTCCTCCAGGGGGTCAAGTAGTCGAGCTAGGGTGCCGGGGATCCTTTCCGGCGAGTCAAAGTCATAGCGACGGCGAACAGTCTGCCAGTCGGCCTCGGTCTTTGGCACCTTCCTGGCTAGTTTGTCCCATATCGGATCGTGAGTGCGTCGACGAGGTTTAGGTGCAGGTGCGGGAAATCGGAGTGTAGTAACAAGATCACTGAACGGGACAAGCGACTCCTGGCCCGGCGGTGTCCTGCTCATATTTGCAAGGTTTCAGAAATTGAGGCTGGCGGAATGGGAGTTGGAAGAAAATATCTCACTACCGTAAGAGGAAAGAATTTATGGACTTCATGTAGGAAAAGGGGGGTTGCGTCAGCAACCCCTCACCCAAATTTAACGCTAGTGGGGTGGAGAAGGGAGGAAATGATCCCATGGACGTAAGAGGAAAGAATTCATGGAATTCGTAGAGAAAAGGTGGGTCTACTGACGGGACGGCTGAGCTTGGAGTATTGGCACATAGGGAGGACCAACACTCATTCACCGTCACCAACATCAACTTTGATCGACCTTTTTTCATGTCCTCTTCTCGCCAAGTCCCAGATCCTCGAAGATGAGATGCATTGATTGGGACTCATGAATGTGGATCATTAGAGGCGGATTTCGCACAAATTGCGGCATTGTTTTCAATATGCATGGGCGGGACTCAGTCGCAGGACCTGGAAAGGCGCTTGCAGGCATCTCCTAATTATGACGAGGGTCACCCTTCCTCCTAATCTTGCGTCCCGATCAAAAAGGGGGGCCTGCCGACGCGCAACCCTTCGCACAAATTTCTGGCTGGCGCGGGATGGAGTGAGGAAAGTATCTCACTACCGTAAAAGGAAACGATTCAGGGAATCCATTACGTTGGCCCACCCCCCCTCTCCACTCAAGGGCCGGGAAGGGGCGGATAAGGGTGGTCCGAACATTGGGACATGGGTAGCCAACATACACCTGACTACAAAGGTTATCAATACTTAAAGCAATGTGCAACCCAGACAAGGTAGCAGCATGCAGGTCACCTCTCACACCGCCTCAACTACCATTCCACCTAACAAGACAACCATCAGCAATGCATGTCGCGGCCCCTATTCTAGCCCTAGCTCTAGGAGCTATGACAATTTCCACGGTCGTGATGGCGGGTTTTTTGTTTCATCTGCATCGCATGTTTCGTCGGAAACAGTCTGAAGGTACGTATTATGCGTGTCGGACGGGTTGTGCTAATGAAAACGCTAGAACATACTAGTGTTGCGCTCAAAACATGGACAGTTCACAACATTCTCGTTCTGGTGCCCATGCCTCTGAAATGGGCCGCGACCAGACGGCTTTCTGACGGTCCTCATATTCAAATAAAGGATGCGAAGAAGCTTATTGTCTACAATCTCTTTTTATCACCACCTAAATTTAGGATCTTGAACAAGACAACCAACGAGCCACTCAAATGCCTAGCATTTGAGGAGGGTTATGGTATGGTTAGCAATGGTGAGGAAGACTTCAGACTTACCGGAATTATTCTTGACAAACGCCTTTTCGATGGTCCGACTTCCCGTTTGCTGCAGTGGCTTGGGGTACCAATAATAATGATTTCAAGTGACCCAACCTCTCCGTGCCAATGGACAGCAATGATCAGAGCTCCATGGACTCTCTTTGGCGAGTCTGTTGTACTTGAAGAACAACACCAGAAAGGCCTTTGGGGGCATAAATGTTATGGGTAGGATGTGTCTTTGGACTTGGTTTGGACAGCTGATATTGTATTTTATTATTTCAGGTATAACATTTTATATTTATATACACAATTTCTTTCGTCAACCAAACCTTGCACCCAGTCGGCATAAATACAGGGCTAAATTGAGAGCGTCCCACGGACATATCCAACGCCGAGTTGAAGTTTATGTTTTATGGTACGAGCCGTGGTCTGTCTTGAGAAACTCATACGAGGTGCTAGCAAAAGGAATTGAACTTTGAAGGGCTTGAGTGGTTAAGGAGATATATTAAGGAGTGGCATTTATTAAGAAATTGGCCAAAAGCCCTGACTACAGAAAGAAACTAAACCTCACACTAAATATACCTCCCACATCCGGGCACTGTTGTATCGTCCCTTTGCCTATCATGAGTGACTTATGTATACAGAGCTCTACGCTTACATTACAGCATGTCACTTGTTGTCCCAGGATAAAGTGTAAAGAGCGGTTGCAGCCTGATCAATCAAGCTCCTCTGGCTTCTCTGTGAGCAGCTCAGCAGCGCTACCGATATCCATATGTTGACCTTCGTCTGAATCGTGCTCTTCAGAGGTCGGGTTGACGATAAGGGACAAGATCTGGTTGATTTGGTTTCCAAGGATATCGAGTCTCGTCCAAATCTTCGTCCTTTGTTCGGTGATGAACGTTTGGAGTTGATTGAATTGAGAACTGAGACCAGGAGGCGGAGGGGGGAACCTCTTATTTCGATCACAGATCAGCCAGGCTGACTGGACCAGTGAATGTCCACCAATAACAAGTATTTGGCGGCGCAGGCCACAAGTGATCCCGCAACCAACTCTAATTTGCCTCTCCAGATTGTTTGCGTAGTGAGAAACCCCGAGACGTTCCAACTCGCTTAGATCCCGAAGAATCTGCTGCTTGCTCAGATTGTGGCTTGGCGCATCGTCAAAGGATATATCGGAAGATTGATGGTTAAGGTTGTTTCGACATTGTTGCACAAGCTCGTGTAGATTTCTTAAAAGCGCGTTGTTAGAGGTGTCTGAGTTGCTTGGATTGGCATTAAGTTTCCGGTAGATGGCATTTAGAAGATTTTCAGCATATCTGCGATTGTCGTTGAAGGCCAACAAGCCGTTAGGGATTGAAATATATAGCAGTCCACTTTCGTAGTGGGAAAAGCTGACGTAAATGGCGATGAGGTTTATAATAATAAGTTCGAGTATGTCTTTGTTCTCCTGTGCTTGGGTGCTGCTCATGGTATCGATCGATGTTGTAAGTTTAGGAAAGGAGAAAAGGTTCAGGAGCGGGGGATGGCCAGTATTTATGACAGCTTCGTCAACTCGTCAACCAATAGTATAGCTAGCAGGACAACCATTCCTATCTAGTTCTAGAGTCTAAACCCTGGAATAGGCAAGCATGTTGTTGTCCAAGATGTCGAGGCGAGACTTCTGAGTTGCAGTTGAGAAAAGAGCACTAAATCAAGGGCAGTTGCACGCCCCCCCGGACCCGCACATTAACCCATGCCCTTGCTCACTAAGACCCCTACCGCAGTTCCGGCCGATCCCTGTCAGTGCGGGGGGTATCCGATGATGGCTTCAGCACATCCATAGCAAAGTTATAAGAGCCTGTGAATTGCTATCTTGTCTAGCGATCCAACCTCCAAAGCCACTCTCTCCGCATCCTAGAATGGTTTATTGTATCTTCACTTCTACAATGTTCAGCCACCTGGGTAGGATCAATATTTGACTTACAGAAGCAAGCTCTAACGCATTTAGTGGAGGGAGGATATTTTGATGCCTCGGCATTTCTTCCAATTGTCCCAGGCCCCCAGAGCGTGGAGTGCGTCCCATCATCGGAGACCTTCTATATCCTCTACTATAGCATAGAGTCATTTCAGAGAAGAACTCGATGGGGCCTTCATTCGATGAAAAAGGGTAACCATCATGTTATTGTTGGGGCATTTTATCGAGAACAAGATGAAATTCTTGTGCTGGGTCCTCATAAGGGGCAGTATCACGATACATGGGCCAGATTCAAGGTTCCTACAAGGCCCAAGGATTTGATGTCTTACGTATAGTGCGAGTTTCTTCAATATGTTACTAGCAGGTCGTTGAGACTTTCCAAGGCTGTGAAAGAGATTGTTGTTGGGTGACTTCATGAAGAGAAAAATAGATATGTTGGGCTTAACGCTTGTACTATAGTTTGAAAGGCTACATTATGTACTTGAGGGATCCCTGGCAGTATTGTGATACGATTGCAGATGCAGTAGGGGTCTGTCAGAACAAGAAACCATGCAACCGCCACTTCCTTCGGCGAGCTACCAGTCCCTGCAGTGTACGGCGAATCGAGTCATTTGCCAAAGTACCATGACCCAACCTCTGCTTGCCACTTCTCAGACATATATAACGCCAGAGTTGCTTTTTTTTTTTTTTAATGGCCCCTTATATCTCTTTAACTCAAAGCTCGATTCCATGTCACCAAGATGACGAACTATTGTATTGTGGATCAACAGTTAGCAGGCGATATGCGTAAAATCTACAGTGAGTTTCAACTGTTCTATAAGAAACCATATCTGAAAGAAAACCCAAGAATTGGAATTTGAAGGAAACAAGGCCAATTCAACAAGCCTCTTTACGCTCAAGAGTTATCACGACATTCCAGTCAATCTTTGCGTGTTCAGTCTATCAAACAACCAGGTCAAAGCAAACCCTAAACTTCGACTGGTGTCAAATTCCAGGGACTGCATAGTTTACCGGGTTTTAATTTAGTTGCATGGAAGTCCAGGCTCTTGATATGGGCTGCAGATGTAGTAAGGGTTTGTGTTGCAACAGAGTCAGTGGTGAGGGTAGAGTTGTTGTACCCCTGAATATAGCGGCAATATAAGCTACTCGGTTGCCTTGTATAGTAACCCAACATCAACACCAACTTGTTTTCTACTATAATGCAATCAAAGTGTATTGCCATAACTGGCGCAGTTGTCGAGAAACTAGGTCGGTACAATTCAATTTCCAGGAGGGCGCTCTAACTGATTCAAGGCGCCGAGGCTTGATCCAGCGCTGCAAAACTTATCCTCTGACCAAAAATCCCATGAAGTAAGAAGGTGCCCAGCTAGTGAAACCGTTTCATGCTGTGGGAGATACTTAGAGGCTTTACAGAAACGAACTGGTTGGAAATTCTTTTGTGTAAAAGGACGCGGCGATATTATCGTTGGAGCATCTTTCAAAGACGGGGACAGAGATGTGGTGTTAGGCGATGTAACACAATCCCTGGTCCTCAAAGACCATTCTTGGCGGCTACATGCAGGCCCTTGATCTGCAACCGCTGAAGCTGAGTGATGTGGCTGCAGAGCCTGATTGTGAATGAGGCTCTGGCGGTGAGAGTGAGGTAGAGGGGTATATAAGGTGCCTTGAACGCCAAACATTTTACTTCAATTCAACAGATAATCCTCTCCTCCAATTCTTCTTCATCTATCAACAATGAATTCCTTCACTGGTCAGATTTCCTCTTTTAATATTATCCATATTACTCTAACTCTCGTTATAGATATGGAGAAGTGCTCTCAAGCAAAAGCCAACGACATGAAAAATCTCGATAATCCTACCGAAGTCAATGATATGATTCGACTGGCCATTGGAAGCCGCGATCGAGAGGTGGAGGAGCTAGGATGGGAGATAGAGCGGAGTGCCTGGTGTATTCTTGTCATGTTCATTTTTTATATACTTACCAAAATGTATACCTAAGAGGGAGGAGCCAGTTACTGTCATTACCCCTAACAGCAGAGATTAACCAATGCAATGACCTCTGAAGTGTACCTGAGGCATTTCGTGTATAGTGAAGTTGAGCGGCGTGAGTGCGACTTCCCAGGAAGTCGGCGGTTAGAAAGTGGCTCAGCGTGACATCCGCCACAACGCTGTGGCGTATCCCATCATGCGGGGAGATCTTATCAGTCAGGTGATAGTGCAGCACCATGCATACAAGTTGGTTCGAGCATCCCCGCGCGCTCGGATCTCCAAGCCATAAGAAACGGTACATAAGTAGCATGGTGCCCCCGCTATAGAACCCGCCTTCAAAACAAATTATATCCACTTTGCACTGAGCTGTCCCTCTCCGCAACACTATGTTCACACAGAGCCCTCCTATCATCTCAGCATCAGACCCATTGGTCACAAAACTGAAAGATTTTTATTCAACCTTCACTGCAATCCTTTGCACGCTTCGCAATGAAATCCCTCAACCGAAGCCCCAGACGCGTTCCACGGTCGCGGAAACAGCTGAGCAAGCAGCACTGAGGACAACTGAGCGTGACATGACTATTTTGCAGAGCCAGTTGGAAGCAATAATATCGCAGGCGAAAGGTACCCAGACTCAGCCTCAAAATTTTAACCTTCCTGGCGTTGCTGCCCTCTTGGAACAAAGCATTAGCGAAGCCACAAACCGCCCACAGATGGACACCCAAGCAAGTAAAACCTCATCATTACAGCCTGCACAGACATCGGACGATCAACAGTCCGTCGGGTCAGAGGATGTGATCATGACTGGTCACAAGGACGGAGGTGACGACGCCCAGCACACAGCCCAGCCACCAACCATACCGAGCCCAGCTGAGCGGGCAAGAGTCGACCTAAATACAATACCCGGTAGCATGGCATTCAGAAGGAGCTGCTCGGTTTTGAGTGGATCAACGAGTTCCTCCATGGCCCCCGACGCGTCACCAGCTGGTTCTGTCGCGACCACTCACGTTACATGGCCGGAGAGCTCTGCCGGGGCTTGTGAGCAGGATGAGTCCATTTTGGACGTGGACATAGGGAATGGCGCGCAAACAGGACAATCCTTCGCCGGAGGCCTCAATGGGATCACTGACTGTTGCTCGCGACGACATGCCGAGACCGATCAGAGTCCTATGGCCGATACCAGGGCTGACCCGCCACCACGGAGTCCTGCAGCCAACAACGAAGCTAAGAACGAAGCCAACTCTCAGATGCACACGGCCGATAGTACAGCCAGTCCTCCACCACCAGTAGCCCACGATATAAGCCCCCCCTCCAATGAGCAATCGCATAGAGATGATGATTTGGACCAAGTGATGGATGAAGCCATAGACATGCTCGCCGCCCATAGAGATAACCAACACGCCGACGACCAACAAGCCTGTGCCCGCTCAAGCAGAGAAGAAAGCGATGCCGCTAGCGAAGGAGTTGGGCCGAATATCAGGCCGAGCACACCAACGATACAGAGGTCGTCACAATCTCAGGCCAGCGAAGCTGTGGACACGTCAACAGCTAGCTCTGTTGTGACACACATCACGTGGCCAGACAGCTCCGGTGGTACTTATGGGCAAGATACTACCATGTTGGGTGTTGAAGGTACAGAAGATGATGATCAGTCACAACAATGCCTAGGTGGAGACCTCGACGCAGCGTCAGCTGAGACGGGTATCCAACGGCTGCAGAGCCCTGCAGCCAACGAGACCACTAACGAGAGTGACTCTGCGGCCGACATTAATCAGATGCCGCAGGGCCCTACAACCAACGAGGCTAGTTCTCCTGGTTCTCGCCAATCATCAACAGAGGACATCGATGACCAAGGATCGCAGTCCACGCCTTGTCCAAATAGGGCAGAAGGGGATGCTGACGAGCTGTGCCCCGGACCCGGAAGCACATTACCAACTCTATCGCCCGCCGATATGAAAAGGCTTGTTTCCAAGATTCAGGAATTAGAAGCCCAAGGCTGTGGACAGCATGTTGCTGTTCCTCGTGTTGATGTTGATTTGGAAGATGTGAAGAAAAGTATCGACACGGGAGAATGGAGATGTACAACCATGGAATACAAAGCGGTCCGGAAAGGCGGGGGGTACGCGTGGATCTATTCAGGCATGCCGAAGAACCAACCTTTGCTCGATTGGCCAGCTTTTACTGCAGAATTCAAGCGGCCCACAACCGAGGAAGCCAAGGGTGTGTTTGAAGACACGGCCCAGAATCCACCAGAAGGGAAGATTCCTTACTATATTGGCCATGCGGACATTCTCTCTGAGCAGTCATTAGATCCTGGGCCTCTTATTACTGGAAACAGTGATTTCAAAGACATACATACCAACTATCACCATATTGGGGGTCATCAGTCCGGAAATCGCATTCACTGGGAAGATTTTACTTACCTAGATGAAACCAATGAGGAACCAGTATATCGCGGTCTGCGATCCTATAACGAGGTTTACTTTGGGACTGGATATAAACTTTGGCTGGTTATTGCAAAACATCACATAACCAAGTTTGATACATATGTCAGAGGAATGTGGCAATGCAAAGACTGCATGAACGGAATTTCGCACAGATGTCTCTTTCTTTCCCCCTCGAGACTTGAGAAGTCGGGCATACACTATACTATTCACGTTATTGGACGTGGCGAAGCTTTCTGGACCTTACCTGGGCAGCAACATAGCATCATTAATGTTGGCCATTGCGCTGCCCGGTCAATGAACTTCCTATACCCTGGCGAAACAATTGATTTCAAGAAGCTCGTTCACTGTTCCGAGTGTGACCAGCACCCGATCAGCTTACAACATGGCGTCGGATTACTCCCAAAGGAACCCAGCCGGAAGCGCAAACTTTTACACCCCAGCTTCCCTTCAAAGAAGACACGCAACGAGACTGCTCCCCAACGAGAGCTCGTCAAAATCAAGAAAGCGCTACAGCTAGCAAAACTAACTTATCGGCCGATAGGGATCGACGACGAAGATCCATCCATCGCAGAAGTCAACGTCTATAAGCTAGTGGCCGCAGTGCGTAGCACACTCGCCATAGAGCAGTTTATTGAAGTTGTGCGGCAATGCAGGGACCCGCAAATCAAGACTCAACTTATCCAAGCGCGAAGCTCCTTGGAAGGAGCTGTCGAATTAATGAAAGCTGCAGACGATCACACAATGGCCCCAAAACTTCGCGTTCGGCTTGGTCAATTGAATCTTAGTCAACAANGCTGAAAAGGAAAAAACGGGCTATCGGAAAAACCACAAGGCAGGCTTTCTCGACGAATTTGCAGCCAAGCATGGGTTAACAAGGCTTCGGCTGAAACACCATCTTCAAGAAGGAAAGAAGTGGACATCGCTATGCACGTCGCACGATGGACTACTGCCTTTTATTTTCTTGATATCAGAAACGGCTCTTGGAATTACTAAAGAGGACTGGGTAACAGCCACTGGCGAGGAAAACAATAAAGCATTCCACAAACTCCTTGATGATAATTATATGAAGAACCTCTGTATAGCAGGAAAGGCACTTGAAAAATTGCTTTTTGGAGAGTCGGTCAAATTTCTTTGGGAGAAGAATGGCTTGGACCCAGATGCGCATAACATCGATGAGTTGCTTAAGGAATACGAAATGGAAGAGGCGAGCGCTGCCCCAACTGACCATGGTGCACGCGGGGCAATGGCTTAGTCAGTTGGATCTGCAAATCCAACTTAGTCATCATGCCATAATATGACTACCCTAGACAGAGTAATAAAATCATAAATAAAAACACGCCATATCGATGTATACAACTTATTCTCTGCTCCTTTATCTTCCCTCTCTTCATGTAAAATAAATGTCCTGTCTGATACTACTAATGTGACGTATTTTATATACAATCTCCCTTATTCGGCAGCGCTGGAATGGATGTCCGAAAGGGCTAAACCGTCTCAAGATCATGATGCTTGGGCAAAGTAAGGATTTCATCCAGCTTAGCTTGTACTCGAGTTATGTTAGATTCGACAGAGGTTGCGTAAAAGGGAAATCTCTGTCCCTTGCCAATGATTTGTGACTATAGATATCAGTTGTACATATCATTAGACGCGACGGGAAATGACGAAGTAGGAGCCCAACCATATTTTCTGCCTTAGGCACTAAACTTTATTCCTTGACGAAAAAGCCAGAAGGATGTCCTCGGGTTTGAGCCCGCACAAATCATCACGGGTTGGTTTTTTCAGGTGGGAGAGGATGGGGTTATTTCTTGCAAGGGCAACGACGTGTATGCTGCCAAGAAGAACACCCACGGAGTCTTCCAGGATTCGAAGCCTCTTTCGACCCTGGAAGCATTGAAAGCGGCTCTTCTTCAGGAAGGAGTCGTCGCCTAACCGTTTCGGTGCTCACCCGATTCAATGGCTTGGACGGCCTGGAATTGATTGCGATGGCGATGGTAAAGATAGCAGGATGAGTTGTTCCTTATATAAGAGTACAACCTCGAAGATCACAGCCACTCATTAAGCGAATTACAGTAGTCTCCATCGAACATATGGTCTAGTGTGATAGTTATACCTGGAACGGTCCATTGCAGGCACTGGCGAAGAATTCGGAACATGGACAAACGATGGCTTTGTGCACTTTGTGATGATCATCGCCACATACGATCGTCAAATCTGAATACGTGCCGTCGTCAAAGAGTCTGTAAGCATTTAGAGTGTGTCTCAGTAAGGACAGCGGGCGACGGACTGTTTTAAGCAACGCAGAAGAGCATCGCGTCGCTCTTGGGCCCTGTTCAGAGCCATGCCTGACTGAATATGGAAAAGGGGATCTCTGTGTGGAGCCTTGAAATGACTGGTATGGGGTAAGGATAAAAGATGCCCCGCTCAACAAAAGAGCATTTACGTCATCGACACCTGAGGATATGAACAATAATCTTGGTATGGTAGTATTGTACGCAAAAAGGAATGGTTACACCCTCCATGGTAGTCTACTGTTACAAGGAACAGAGTAACCGAGTCTGTTTTCTGTCTTATTGCTGGCACAAATTATGTTATTTATGTACTTGGTGACTCATTACGTTCTGGGAGTAATTCATTGCTGTTACATGCTTCACAACACAACACATCCTGCTCGATTGTAAAAAAGACTTCGGGTTGTTCCCAGGAACAAGAAATAACTAATCACAGCATTCTCTAGCTCGTTTCTTGTTTCTCGTTTAAGGATCTCTCAGTACTAGGTACAAGGAAGGCGGCATTGTGGCTTGGCTCTTTGTTGTCACACTTCAGGCGTCCGTATGGTACTGCCCAGTTACTGCCGAATGACCAAGATCTGCCACATGATGATTTCGTATTCTCGGTTATTATAACCTCATCCAGAAATAACCATCCTAGCACAGCTTTAGGCATTTTAAGTCTATCGATATCTGACTGCCGTTATCGCCAACCTCCAAGACTGCGTCTGTCGGTCGTGAGAGTCGTGGCTGAAAAGTATTTCTGATCTTTTTAAATACCATGAAGTACTCTAGAGGCTGGTTCCAATTCCGGACATGAGGACCGAAATATTGCTTATAACACTGTGTTTCGAACCACTTTTTTTTCTTAGAAGGAACTTACAGCCGATTGCATCCTTCTCTCTTTTGCAGGTTCATCTATTTCCTTTTACAAAATGTGTAAGGAGGATGTTTAGTTAGGTTCGTTATTGAAGGACTGTCCATGGTTTTCATACACTTTAATCTTTAGCCCCACACTCAAAGAAGTTCTCGCCAAATAATGACGCTTGCATGCTTGTACCTCAAGGCTCCTTTGACTTCTGAGCCCACATGACATTGGCACGGTAGTAAGAATGATGCTGATTGCTTCGCAGTTCTTTGCGTAAATGGGCAGCGTACACCCTGATCTCATCCTGGGACCAGCCAATCTGTGTCGCCATAAAACCCACTGCCCCTTCAATGTCGTTCTCAATCGCGGCTTGGGTGAACTGGCCGATCTTCTTCAGTTCAGGATCCTTAGGCCAGCCAGAAGTTGGAAGCTTAAATACCGTAGGTTAGTCGAGCGTCTGTGACGCAAAGATAGAGGAAACATACCTTGATAGCCTTTTCCTGGATGTTGACAAAGCCAGCCGCCTCCATTGCCTGTCGTTGCAATTGGTCGCGCACCACGGCAAATGACGCTGTGGACCCTAACTTCTTGGCACCCTCTCTGAAGATCATGCCCCATTGAGCCAGCGCAGATTTGTCGGGAAGGGTATTATCGTCCGACTCGAAGAAACCATTGACCTCGAAAGACTCAAGCCAAGCGCCGGGCTTGAGAGCCATATATGCCTTCTTAAAAAGTGCCGTCCAGTCAGTCACGGAACCAATGAGCCAACGTGTGTGGATAAAGTCAATCGAGCCGTCTTTGAAAGTCCAGTCTTGTGCAAAGTCGTCAATCTCGCTCCGGGAGGTTAGTTGTTAATTCTGATGCGGTCCAGGGAAAAGCGTACAAATGCACATTGGGAGGAACCCAGCTTGGCTGGATAGGAGACAAATCGGTACCAATCACTTCGGCATTGGGATATTGGTCGCCAAAATCGCTACGAATATCATGTTAACAGCTGGGTGATCAGAAGAGAAAGCCAGATGAACATACATTGCCCAAACACCAGTACCAGTTCCAATATCAACTGCCTTTTCTATCTTGTCTGAGAGAGGCGCGAAATGCAGCTGGCCGTCCATGGCGAGGGTAAAAACGTGGTGCCTTCACGGACGTTAGTATTTGCTATCCTAACATCGATATATAGCCTTACTGAATGTCAAGTGTCTCATTTTGTTGCTCGTCGTTAGGACCCCTTCCTTCATTTAGATATCGTGTCTTGATCGACTCCAAAATTCTATGCCTACCAATATTGATGGCTCCCGCGATCGCTATGGTATGTACGTCCGTTGAGCTCACGGTACTCGAGGATGCTGGATGAAATGGAGGCAGTAGAGCTGGTGGTATTATCGCCGAGTGCCGAGTCGTTATCGTTCTGATAAGGGTTGAGCGTCAGAAATTGTCGAGATACTAATCAAACATTGTATGTTCACCTCGGGAAGACCCTGCTCAGTCCAATGTTCACCTGGCTGTAACTCGCCCTCTCCAGGCTCGTGCTGCACAGGCGATGGTGTCCTCCGATACGTTGGACTCGATGGCTCAGGGCTCTTGGGCTCCTGTCCCATGGCCTTGGGGGGTGTATCTGTCATGATAATCGTCAAATTAGGTAGAGGGCGTGTTTAGACGAAGCAACGTCTCAAAAAAAGGTCTGTGGATCGAAGAAAGCGGAGGAATGAACTAAAGACGTGGCGCAATAAACAATGGAATGCCAACTGACGCGTAGGGGGTGTTTTGGCGAGGGTCTTTGTCAGACAAATGGAACGATTAGCATTGCATAAAACCCCTGTTGTACCTGTGCAAACTTCCCTAGTTGCACGCAGCTTATCGATAAGATATCAATTTTTATCGATAATCAGTCCCTGCTTACCATCCCCAGGTTCTGGTCTAAGCCCAAAAAAGATCTTCCTCTTCAATGCAGCTGGGGTGCTGAAGCTTCTCAACAAAAACCACTCCTGGTACTCTCCCAGGCTTTATCAACACCATGAATGGAATTAGGGGGGGACCCCAAAAGCACCTGACAAGCAGTGGTCGCGCCCAGAAGAACAACAACGCGAGGAAGCCGAACAGCGAGCGAGCACATCCTTACCGCTAATGCTGCACCAGCATCTCGAAATGTGCCACTCACTTGATGTGAGCTTTTTGATGGCGATCGATCGTTCTCGACGAAGAGAGTAATCATCAACCCGACCAGCTGACTTTCCCGTCGGTGAATCGATACATGGGACAGCTTTGCGGACGACCAGGAGGGCATTTGGAAGCAGGGATGCTCCAGCCGGACACGCCTGGGCTGTCGTAAACGTTCTCCAGGCAAGAGTACTACGAATACGACAACCACGAGAAGTACAGGGCCTTACGATCGTGCTTTTCAACAACACTTGATCGATCATAATATCTTTCCCTAGTTACGAGTATCCCGATGATCACGAACTATTCGAACCCGATAACATATTCTGCAGCACTGACAGGATATGATCACAAGCAAGGAGGAAGCAAATACCATCCATCCAGGTTTAAATAATCAGTGGATGAACTACTGCGAGCAAGTTGTCTCGAAGCAATCATTCATTCCCACGCGAGCACCGGTGTTCAGGTTCAACAAAAAAATAGAAAATAGGGCTTTTTATAGCTCAACGTTTAATTATCTTCCCATTTTCCCGAAAAGGGCTGACTCGAGCCATTGTATTTGACTGGGTCAACCGCTGAGCGTGGTCGAGTACCGGCTACCGGCTGGGGGGCGAGTCTTTGGTGCTTGGTGTCAATCGGCGTGGTGTGCCCGCCTCAGACCCACGTGCGATGACGTCTTGAACATCACAGCCATGTCGACAAAGCTTAGAAAACGGCGAGGCAGTATCGTCGGGATAAGTCCGGCCTCAATGGAGCTGCTGTACAGTACTATCTTCAATGTTTCTCGTCATCTCATGAGTACCCGCTTGGTGTAGTCAAAGGAGTAGAGAGGGCGGGGGTGCCCGAGCGGTACGGCGCGCGCCAGTTTAGATGAACTAGCAAACATGTGCTGACTGGGTTAGATCAAACGCTGGTGCCTACCAGTGCAATATTGCTATGCTATTTTTATTTTTTCCTCGTTTTAGGTTGAATAACTTGGCCTGCGTTTTCTTGTTGGGAATTAAAGCCTGTACTTGTCCCGGGCCCCTATGGCAAAGTTTGTCACATCTGCGTTTTATTTTAAGGTGCACAACAGCATAGGACAACAAGAAGCTAAGAACGGCTTCCATGCCTGTGTACAAAGCAGAATGAGGAGCCAAAACCAGTCCTTTTTATACAGATGACCTATATATAGCGCCTCGATGGTGTGTACTTAGCTATAAACCCGATTATGGCATCTCATTTTCTCTTGTCGAAATGCACTCCTCTGGCGGGGCGTGCACCTACCCTAAAACAAGAAGCAGATCGCTAGCCAGCATCGTCGCAGTGAAGCCAAAAATAGCTTTCTAAATACATAACACTCAAAAGCAAAATTGTTACCCCTGCGGGTGCTGGAAATGGACCAGAGAAAGATTACTATATGTATCCTGTCCCTGGTTGATTGTTCCATCAGCTTTCCCTCGTCGCGATAACCATGGCGGTTGAGAAAGAGAGACCGGAGTAATGAGAACTTCAAGAAAAAATGGATCGCACTCAAGAATGACGGCCTCAATATCCACCAGGTTTATGACGCCGAAGTATATGTCTGTAAACGCCGCAAGGGCGAAAAGTATGAGTTTAAGTCCACTAACAAAGCGTTACCGCTGTCTGACGAGGAAAAAGTTAGTCTCAGTGACACAATATGCTTACTGTGACTAACAGAGGATGACAGAATGAAAGCTTCCCGTTACCTGTACTCGCGACAGCCGCGGATGCCATACGTCATAGGAACAGCCAAAGTCCAATGAAGGGGACTGCTACGGCGGAACGTCCAAAAGGGCCAATACTGACAGGGAACTAATTATTAGAGCCCAAAGAGAAATGTCGCAATAAATTATAATTGATCTTAATGAAAATTTGCGTTCCACCCTCTATGCGTCACAAAGAGTTGTTACCAATCTGAAATATCTTACTAGATAAATTTCGCAGAAATTCCAGTGAAACTCTTGGTGGCTGCTGTCTTTCGTGAATACGTCACATCAGCGCTTCGTTGCGTGTCAAAAGGGGAGAAACCCTGTGTGGCCATGGAAACAACACTCTCGTTTTCGGGCAACATTGAAAACTGCCAAAGCTGATCCACGTTGGGTGTGCAGATCGGGTTGTCAAAGACTATAGCTGTGGGATATGGCTCGTTGCTGACGGTGAAGGTCCAGCTGTCGCATGCAAAGAGACTGCTTGGCTGAGAGCCCGTTGAGCTTTCTAGCATTGTAGGGCTACATATTTCTGATAATTCCCTAGTACCATCGATTGAGACTGTTCGTTTCCCCCCTTCTGGGAGTTTAGGCCCTCTTGTTGATGCGTGCGTCGAGAACCCGGACGTTGTGTCTGAAGCAGGATTACTCCCGGTGTGGTTACCAAGTTGACGGCGAATAGTTGAGTCTAGCGAACCGAGCACCTGTAATAAATTGTCCCTTTCCTTTGCGACCTGGTCCAGCCGAGGTAATAACGAGACTATTCGCGCCTTTGATTTGTCTTGTCGTAAAGTTTCAACCATATTCTCAAGATGCTTAATGCGACTTTTTGTCCTCTCACGCGCCTGCTTCTGGGACTTGCGATCTGCTTCCTGCTTCTTGAGCCGGCGGGCCAAGGCCGTGCTGTTGCATGTTTTTTCGTTCATGGTGTCTCGCTCCGGGATGGAAATAAAAGGATAAACGTATAGCCGAGTTAGAATGCGAGCATACGGGTCAGGACCGTATCCCAGAACAGGAAGAGACAGAAATAAAAGTCACAGGAATAAATCTAACCAACAACAGCAAGGTTACTGACAGTCTGTTCAAGCTGACGCTTTAAGTACCGCAGAAATCCGGTGTTCATCTTTGCCATTTCTCAGTCCAGCATACCAGATGTCTCAAGTTCTCATCATTCAAAGGCGTCGGCCGCGGTCCAACCCCAATTTCTTGCAATCGCTGAATGTCATCACCAAGCCCTGGACCTGGGGTATCGTGCAGGATGGTCTCGTACGCAATACATCAGTGACCTATCGTCTTGATCCATGATGCATGACATCTGTATGGAGAAAATGAGATAGACCTTGCACGCCAAGCCATGTAATCCGTGTTTCTCAGTAGCAAGGGATGGTTACAACGATCCACTGAGGCGCGGTTCAAGTATCACCCGAGACAACGACTCACATGGGTCCCCATGGTCTACTACTAGCAACCATGTTAAAGCCAAAAGATCGGCGGCATATTAGGTGCATTGTCACATTTGATCAACAGTCTAACAGATACAACCCGGCGATAGAGGGCCGATGCCGAAATAAGATTGAGCTTTGGGGCTTTGCATCATGGGGATGGTAAATAGAAAAGTTCATCTGCCGCGATGCGTAATTCAGTCCATGATATACGGTTATACAGGTAGATTAAGCCGTGGGTTAACGAGTTCTGGCCATTGGCTTGGTACCAACAGAAAACTTGATAATTTGACTTCATACCTGAGGCAGCACATCACTTGGAACTCTGTCGAACTTCACCCTTGCGTCAAGCTTTCTCCAATCAAAGTCCAAACCTTTCTAAAATCAGTCAATTATCATTTCCGAGTGATATCCCTTCAAGCCACACTATCAATTTCCAGAAGCCACAAATTAAAAAGTCAGACAATCTACCAAGTGAGTACATATGACCAGACCTCCTGGTTTTCTTTACCTAACAACCTCTTTTTCTTTACGCTTGCCCTATCCTTTTACTTCTGTTTTCTAGAATCATTTCTAAGTCACATCGTTCTTTACTAACGTCGCTTTCGATGGATTGCCAGCTGCTATACAGAAGCAAGGTTGACAAGAGTAAGAAAAATAAACTTAGTTACGACAGGGCTCGTGTAGCGTGTGGAAAGTCTCCCAGGCATGCTTATCAGTATATACGCTAACTGGTAGCTTTAGGCCACTGCCGAAAACGCAAAATCAGGTGCGTTCGGCCTGGAGATGATCGTCAGACTCCATGCGCTAGCTGCTCCCGCCTGAAGAGGGAGTGCAACCTGGTGTCCGGCAAAGCAATTGACGTCGCTATCCCTGACCAATGGCCGGCCCCGGTAATTGACCAAAGGGGGTCCGATACCTTCAACGCACTTGAGTTGACTAGTTCATTAAGCTTATCTATGCCACGAGACGATTCAGATGCCATTGCGGCTGCCCTGAACCAAACATATACTGATTTCGAAATAGAACGTTAGTCGAAAAGAAAAGAAATTGCATCTAGGCCTATGATTTCTGATTGTTTCCTAGTATTCCTTTCCCAGCCTTCTTCCAATCTACCTGGAGTTGCAGAGTCAGGTTGCATGGATGTGAGCTGGCAACAAACCCAGGTCATACCCCTTGCTTGGGCCGATACCATCAGTCTCGGCTACCCCATTTTACCAATATTTCAATCGGACCCTTCAGGGTCATCTCTAGACACGCGCTCATACAAATACATAGACATGGGTCCTGGACACAGGCTGAACGAGGTCTACGCGCAACCGCGTTCGTGTTGGGAGTTGGGTGCGCTAGGAGGCTTCAGCTAGAGCACACCTACCAAAGCATGGGGGACAGAATAAATCGTCCTTCGAGGGTCTGCCGCTGGAATGATTTGCGGGGAGGATTGAAGATCGAGCACGCCTAGATTAGCAAGACAAATAGAAGAAGCAGTACGAGGCGAACAATAACTCATATTGAGAAAGGACGCTTAATCACAGAGTCCCAAAGTGCCACAATATTCGAGTTTTATTCCGAAATTCCTGGTGGTTTCGAGAAGCTGCCTGGTTCCGGAAATTCTCATGGTTCAGTTCCTGGATCATAGCCGAAGAGGTGTGTTATCGTGAATTGGCTCAGGTCATCTATTTCTAACGATCCGTAGCAATGTGGTACGATGAATCGACCCAGGTTGTCGTTGGCGCTACTCATCATCTCATCTATCTCAATCGGCATGGTGTTAGTTTGAGATCCCAGGTGTAGCTGTTCGCTCGCGCTTTTCTCAAGGAAGTTGTGAACATTGGGTGACTTCTCATCCAAATAGTTAACTTCGCACTGAGCCCTACTCTCTGTAGTCTGAGAGAAGTTGGTACCCGAGTTCGACAATGTCGCTGGAGGATGTGTCGGTTTTTTGGCACGCCGACGAGGGCGGGGTAAAATTGATCGCTTGGATTGTGCTGCCTACGTGTCGGACACTATTCTGTAGGCATATGAACCCTTGCTTGTGGTTAGAGTCTGTTTTGCTGACCCCATTTTTGCTATGAACTCCAGACCGCATCAACGATATGCCGACACATTGACCATGCAACCTTGGTTCACATCAAGGTTGGACGTGAGGCCATGTTGTGAGAGGATGGCCCTATGCGGGGCTTTGCTGACAGCGATCGCGCAAGGTCAGCATGTGACCGTGCAGGGTGGACCCGGATTAAAGTTATTGGCACAGGTAAAGTTGACCTTGCCACGAAGACATCCCCAAACCGAAATGTCTCCCACTGGCACCCTCCGATTGAACAACGTACTGCACGCCCCTAACATTATCTGTAACACCATTGGATCGCCCGTTCTAAATGACTACGACGTCTTCACTCCGTTTTCCAAAACCTCCTCTGGTTCCATCAACAGGCTTTTTGATGGCTGCCTCATAGCCTATTGTAAGCCGGCGACCCAAGCTGTCCGGTTTTTCCGAGTTCGTCTCAGCGGACCCGGTCGGTCCCAAGGTTGGCCCTCCACCCTTGGATCCATCCACGAAATACCTACTTTGGGCGGAATGGCCGGACAGCGAAAGAAAAAAGCATGACAATGTTCAACTTCTATTGCATGATATAGACACAGCCGGTGGGCCTCTGAAAGCGACTAAGAATGCATGGGTGAAGAAGCACTATGGGGACGAGTTCAAGTTTCTCCAGGTTCACGGTTTGAGCATCTTCAAGGAAGAAGATCGAGCAGAGGGCCGCATCACCGTACGCACAATGATATCGCGCGACAACGAAGAAACCAGTGCAATCTAGTTAAAGGGAGCCAGTACGATTCTATCTATCATCTAGGCTTACGCAATATTGATCAGGCGGAATACTCGAGACAAAATGATGCTGTACTGGATTATGTCAACAATCAGGTTTGAGCCTTGCGCACGAGTTGTATGCGGTAGTCGATCGAGCCATATTAGTTCAACCAGATTGAATTGAGCTACCCAAACGTTCTATTTTTCACTGTGATTGACTGTATCTATTGCTCCCAACTTGTCATGCTCATCCTTTAACCATCTTTCGACGCCTCAACTTGCGCAATCGCCTTTGCTCCACTTGGCACGATGATCGCAGCGTCACCCGATGAACTGTCTGCACATGGGCCCTGAAATGGTCCATATCATGGAATTCGAGATTCTGTCCTCGGTTTTGGGTGCGACAAGCAGGGTGTGTACACACCATCTTCTCACCACGTTGCAGTGCCCTCTCGCGGTCTATCAAGTGCTGGTCATCAAAGTGGTCGTTCCTAACGGTCGGTCGACAATACGAAAAGGCACGCTCCTCGAGGGAGAGCCGCTCATCGCCGATGCAGTCCGGGCATTGTCCGGGTTGCATGAGGAGAGGAAATTGATCGAGGCTAGGCTCAGGCTCACTGCCCGCTTCGCTAGGTTCGGTTTTGATGTGCGGTTGAGCCTGAGCCCTGACAATTTGCTGGACGCGATGACGCTTGACCGTCTCGCGTTTGTCGCACAGAGACACCATGAATTGGATAGCTTCGATCCTTTGTTCGAGAACCTGATCCTCTGTGAGACCATCCTGCTGATGGCAAAGAATATTTGCTAGCCGGTCGCGTTCTGGTATATGCACATCGATGACAGGTTCTGTGTACTCCTCCTCTTCCTCCCCCCGTGCCTGCTGCTCAATGTCCCAAGTGGGACGGTGGTAAAAGTACTCCTCGCGGTATTCTTTAATGACCTGCTTTTCGCGGTAGGCTCTCTTCGTTCGGATTTCGTTGGTAAGTCGGCGGATTTCTTCCTCGTTCTCATGCCCTTCGATGCGGTACTTGCCCTGCTTCAATTGTGCAGCTGTTCCTCAAGTTCGACAATTTCCGGGTCTGGCGGCAGGTTAGTCCAAACCTCATCAGGCACCATATCAGCTGTATCTCGAGGATCACGCGTAAGGCTGACGTGTGCGAACAAGCGGAACAGCTGGCTCTCCTTTTCTTCTTCTAGGAACGCGTTCTGGAGGTCGAAATTCGCAATCTCGTTGAGGTACGCGCTTTGAAAGGTCATAAATCGGGGATCTTGGCGCATCATCTGATCGCGAACGGAGTCGGGTGCGTCCCCTGTGAAGAATATCGTCAGTACAGGGAACAATGATGTCATGGCGATAAAAGCCGGCATTTAAGGGACGCATGTTGTACAAATACGCACCGTTAGCCGCGTTGCCAGCGCCTCGCCTAGCGAACCTAGGTGTCCATTTCCTTTCATGTCCCGAGTCAAGACTCTGTTGACCTATGTCGTCTCTGAGCTTGGAGTACAGCATGGCCTCATCAGCAGAGAGCTCCGTGCCACGATATCGGCGAAAGATTGGAGTCTTTAACATAGACTTCTTCCATCGGAGCGGGATACAGTGCTTGAAGCGCGGTGGCTGCGATCCGAATATAACGGCTGCATCTGTCAAGCTCGGAGCATCGAATGCATTGTCGTGGAGAACGAGAGCAAGAATCGTGGAAACAGCACAGAAGAGCAGCTTTCTCGTGGGTGTGAAGTAGAAGATGGTACTGCAGCGATTGTTAATATACAGAACGCCCGAATGCTCGCCGTTTGGGACAAGCATGAGATACTTACGGCTTGGGCTTGTTGTCAGCGCCTTTATGATGAACGAACTTGATGGCCATGGCTGGCATGCATCGTCCAGTGGCCAGGTGTCGGACGATCATCATCTGGATATCCTCGTAGCAGAGGGCCTTGGGGCGCCCGCGTCCCACCGTCTCTTGACAGAGAAGGCCATTGAGAACCTTGGACTGTTCATCCGCAGGGGTTTCCTGCTCTTCACTGCTCGCTGACGAAGACAACTGGACTGCATTCTGACCAAAAAGTTCTTGGATGGAACCGTCTTTTGGCTTCTGACGCTCAGCATCTACTAGCTCGGCCGGCCGTGCGCCCGTATAGCACAGAAGTTGGTAGCAGCCAGCAAGGTTGATGCGGTGCCGTTCGCCTGGGAAGATGGTCGTATCGTATGCGATGTTTAACGTCAGGATGATTCGTAGGTTATCGGCGTTGAGTACCGGCTTGCCATCGATGTTTGGCGGGCGGTGTCCGAATCGTGGGACAAGGACGCTGCGATAATACTGGCTGCCTGTTACTAGAGCTCAAGAATGGGCCTAAGCACTACCCTAGTGTACTGTACAGCCAGACAGAAAGGATTTCCCGACATACCTTGTACACTTCCTTGGTGTCGTTCCGATCCATATACTGGCCATTTACCGTCGTGTAAAGCTGTTGGAACTGGCGAATGTACTCGTGTCCGCTGCCCCATGATGTGATCTTGTACCGCTCGCAGATGTAGAGGAGGAAGTCCTGCGTCGTCCCGCGGTCGAGGTTCTCGAGCGTCGCCTTCCATTCGCCGACCTTCATGTCAACGCAGTAGCTGTGCGCGAGGAGGTCAGTACACGGAAAAGGTTGCAGAGAAGCGATGCGATCTGTACCACATACCGCCTCCATTTGTTAAAGATGCCGCTGACGTTGATCTCGGTCTGCTCAGAGTATCTGGGCTTGATGAAGCGCACGGTGCCGAGCTGCGCGCGGTGAGCAGCATGCTCTTCCACCGAGAGCGTGGGTTTCTGCTTTGCGGCTCGATTTTGTGCTTGTCGGGCATTGAAGCGCTCGAGGAAAGATGCATGATTTTGGTGCAGACCATTTCTGGCCGTAGTCACGCTGGTGGTCATCGGGAGGTAAGCAGACTGGTGATCAACAACAGCTGCGAGAAATGGAATGAGCGCGAGGACCAGTGAAGAAAGTGAATGAGAGGGAGAGCAGATCGATGAGGAATCCAAAGGTGGTCCATGTCGCTATTTATGGTCCAAGAGGTTCATGGCATGCTCGCGAGGGTCGACCCCGGGCGGCAAGTAATGGACTCAACATGGTCAGCATGTAAGCAGCAGGAGACACAAAGAGGACAAAGGATGCTGAAATTAGACGCCCAGTCGCTGATGGATGGGACCAAAATGGGGATGCGTGTCTTTTCCGCAGCGGCCCTGGCACGTGCAGGGGATCTGTGCGCCAGGGGTTGCGCAGGTATATAGTACCTGTCTTCCTCCTCTTGTCGCTCCCTCCCCCGCACTGCTGATGCCTCCAAAAACAGCGACACATTCCGCCCAAAATGGAGGCACCAACAGCGCTTTCTCTGTTTAAGGAGTAATAAGGATTTTTAATATACTTATTTATTTAATATACTTACCTATTATTATAATATATAATAACTTGATATAATAAATAAGTATTTATTAAAGTATAATATTATTCAAAATATTTTTCATAATATACTTTCTAAGTCTACATATATAATTTAATTATAAAATATAAATTTTAATTTTATAGCTTAGCAGCCCATTTTATATCTAGCAGGCTTATATACTTCTCATATTCCTTTAAACACTCTGCATTACTTATTGCGCCAGCATTCTGCACTCTTTGCCCTATCACGACGCTCTTGACGGCCTTCTCCACCTTCTTACCGCTCATGGTGTACGGGATGTCCCTGACGTGAAGGATATACGCTGGGACATGCCTCGGACTCAACAACGTCTTTATGGCATCGCGGATCTTTAACTCTAGCGCCTCATCGAAATTTATGCCATCCCTCATCTTGATGAACAGTAGAACCTGCTCGTCTTGATCCTGGGGTCGCCGCTGGCCTACGGCGATGCTGTCATCCACCTCGGCGAATCTGCTGACCACGTTGTATATCTCGGCAGTGCCAAACCGAACTCCTTGAAAGCGGTCAGTTTTGTCGCGTCAAAATATAAACATAGGGAGGAACTCTCACCGCCAGGGTTGAGGACACCGTCGCTGCGACCATGGACTAGGTAGCCCTTGGTCTTGATATCCCTGCTGACAAAGTCTCCATGGCACCAGACATTAGGAAAGGTGTCAAAGTACGCATTTCGGTACTTTTCATCTCCTCCTTTCCCCCAGAACGTCACCGGCATACTCGGGAACGGTTTCGTGATAACTAGCTCCCCTTTCTGTCCGGAGTCATCGATATTGTTGCCGTTCTCGTCCCAGATCTCTACCTTCATGCCCAGAGCTGCAGCCGCAAGTTCGTTACCATGTATCCGAATGAGATTATTGCCGCCAATAACTGCCAAAGACCGATCAGCTTGATGCAACCCCGCCGCTTCGACTCATGTCAAGATCACTTACTGCCTCCAAGCATGTCCGTCCCTCCCGAACCATTATGGAGACCGACTTCTTTCGGAAAGACTGTGTAGAACCAGTCACAGAGTTCCTCGGAAAGCGCCGAGCCAGATACGAGCACTGTCTGTAAGGCTGCCAGCGACGGTAGCGGACCGTTAAGGTCTCTCATGAGCGTCCCGAGGAATTTTGGACTCGTGCCCCAATGGGTGACGCTGATGTCGGCGCCATAGTCAGCCTCTGGTAACAAGGGTGAACCTTGGTCCATCATATGCGACAACTTACCCTTGTTCTTCTAGAAACCTTAATTGGTAAGACGGTCTCGGATGGAGCGGGCTCCCATCGTAAAGAATAATCTTGCAACCAACGCTGAGAGCTCCCACGAGCATATTCCACATCATCCACCCAGTCTATGAGATCTTGTCAGCGGATGCGCGGTCAGAGACGAGTCGGGCAGCTCACGCTTGTATACTGATAGTATATTGAGTCGATGCCAAGGTCCATGGCCAACGCCATATCCATCTTATGCTTTAGAAGCGCACCACCTCCGGAGTGACATATGCCTAAGCCACAATTAGTCAAAGACCCCCATCTCCAGAGCTAAGAGATATGTGCTATTGGTTGGCTGACAAAGGAATCCTTTCTTCGTACATTTTGGCTGGCCAGTCGTTCCGGACCTGCTGACCAGTTAGTTTCTTTTTAGGTCACCAAGGAGCCTCCTGGATGATACTGACGAATACAAGATATAGACGGGATGGTCAAATGGAACCTGTAAGAACTGCAGGGACTCTAGCGGGACGTCGAGGAATTCGTTGAGGGAGATTCTGGCTCTAATCAGCAACCTGCTGTGGACTCCTCAGGAAGCCAGCACTCACACAGTGTCATCTTCCCAAGCTGGGCCGCTGACGACGACCTGCTGGAGTCCAGTGCCTTGATGCTTCAGTCTTTCAACGACAGTTGCCAGCTTCTTGCGGAGGTCTCGTGACTTGCCGCCGTAGAGGACACGGGATTCGAGGAACAGGACCTTGGGCTGAGACTGAAGATATCTCTCGACAATCCCATTCACCCCCATCTCGGGTGAAGTTGAAGAGAAGATGGCGCCGATGCTGGCACAGGCGAGCAGAATCAACACCGCCTCTAGAGAGTTTGTCATAACAGCTGCGTAAAAGTCAGTGGCACTGACTTCAAGATATCACACAAGAAGGGGTGCTATTATACCTGCCACGCGATCCATCGCCTTGACATGAGCAATTCTCAGCGCGCTCGTGTACCGAGCTATCTCACGCTCCAGCTGCTTCCACGTCAGATGCTTCCACTGCGTGCCCGCCTCGCGACAAGCCGACACGGCGATCTTGTCGGGATGCGCTGCCAGACCCACGGCGAGCACGTTCTCGGTGAAGTTTAGCCGGGCTCCGGAGTACCACTCTGGTCGCGGCCACATGCGGGAGCTATCACTGACAGCTCGACTGGGAGGCGCTGAGTACACTACGCCACAGAAGTCCCATATTTCCTGGTAAAATAACTCGGTCTCATTCACAGACCACTTGTGTAATTGCTGATAGTCGGCGAGGGCCAGATTGTGCTTCAGGTTGACATGTCTTTTGAAGGCCTCCAGCTTTGTCAGTTGAGGGCTTGGATGAGCCCAGGTTGCCATCTTGGTTGGTAGTCAAGACCTGTAAGAAAAGAGCCAAAGTGTGTGCAATTCTAATGTGAATCAAACACTGGACCACCTCCAACGTTTCATACTCACTCACTTATAACACAGAACTTTGGTTAATTGGTCATTGACACGACAGTCTCTCCCCATTCAATGCCTCGGCAATCAGCAGGGGACTAAAGCGATGCCACTAGACAGGGGAGTTCCTCCGGCCGGTGCGGGGCTTCTCATGCGAATCTTGCGGAAATTGCTTCTTAGGTTTCTCCGGGAGCATTATCTGTGGGTCTTGTACCCTATACGACCGGCGTATACTAGTCTCTCCGTTCGGAGAAATCCCGTCGACTATCACCCATGAATCTCGGTGATGCAAGAGTAGGAGTTGTGGTGTGGTGTCTAATGGATTCTCACTGATACTTAATACAAGAAGAAACTCTGGGCAAGCGCTGGCACGACACATGCACACTCTGATAAGCTTTGGCAGCTCACTTTGATTATCAAAGAATCCAAAATGGAGAATACTGACGTCATCATTGTTGGAGCAGGTCCATCTGGTCTTGCCCTGGCCATCGCCTTAGCCTCTCGCAAAATCAAAGTAAGTTTCACTCTTATCTTTTAACATCGCGTCGCGCTAACGGAAACAAGTCTATCGTGTTGGAGAAGAACTATGAGATATGTACCGACCCGCGAGCGATCGCCATGGCTGGTGATTCCCAGCGCATCGTCAACCTGCTCGGCGTCAATCGATCCTTAATGGAAGAGATAGGACAGGGTTAGTCAAAATCTGGTACACAAGTCGCATCAGATATCCTGCTAACCTTTGCGTTGGACTGCAGTCATGACCTGTATCCACTTCCACCAGAACACTTTCACCTCCAAACCCTTTGCCAGCATCGAGCATGAACGCGACTGGCTTGAGCAGACATTGCCGCCGGGGTTTGTCTTATTGCAACCCGAGCTAGGTGAGAACATGACATCTATGCCCTGGACGATGAGCTATGTAAAGGTTGACCTCAGCTCCAGAGAAGAAATTCCGTCGCTCGATACAGGCGTCCGAGTACGCCGAGCTGAGGCTGAACTGCACCGTGACAGGGATTCGCGAAGTGGATGGTGGCGTCCAGGCGACCTACCAACGAGAGGACGGCGAGACGATAGACATTCACGGCAAGCATCTTGTTGGCGCAGATGGCAAACGTGGATACGTCCGCAAGGGATATCTGGAGGCCAAAGGAATAAAGCAGCTTCCGGGACTGTATGATGGCCAAACCTCATTTCTGCGACAGTGACAGTTCCGAGACCTAACAGTGTCCTAGGTATCAGTACGACGCGGCTTGGATTGCAGCCAACCTGCGCATCACTCTCCCAACACCCACTTCGCACCCTTCCTTTCCGCCGTGGAAACTCGGATACCAACCCGAAGAGTTGTGGGATATCTTCTGGCCTGGGGGATTCCAGTAAGCTATAGGATTCATCAACGTTTCTCCTGACTTGGCTGCGCTTGATAACTGACTATGCTCTGATTAGTTTCTGCACCCACGCTAAGATGCCTATTGCAGCAGGTCGATTCGGGCCGAGAAATCAGAAATACTGGAGGTATTAGTTTAAAAGTTGCGCGCTGTTAAAGAGGATCTAGTAGTTCTCATTATACATTTTAGGTTCGAATACGAGTTGCCCCCGAGTTACATGCCCGACGACTTTGAAGAGCATCTGAAAGTGCAGATAATGCCACATATAACCATTCCAGGACACCTATTCAGGTAGCCTTCCTACACAAAGAGATGAGATGATAGTTAGCTAATGAGTTGGTAAAAAGTCGCAAGGGTATGAAACTAGACGAACCGGTGTCCTTCCCATGGGACTGCGTGGAGGTCTTGCGTTGTGCACCAGCCAAGTAAGTCCCAATGCTATCTCATACCCTGTATTTTTCGTCTTGTCGCTTCCATTTAGTTGAAACTTGCTAATTTCTACTATCCGAGTTCAGTTTCTCGCAAAAAGTCGTGAATCGGTGGTTTCACGGCAACATCTCACTTATAGGTGACGCGGCCCATGTGTTCCCCCCTTTCGGCGCCCAGGGGATAGCGAGCGGTATACGGGACGCGCTGGGCTTGTCATGGAGGCTCACACTCCTCTTTGGCCCCCATTCGTGTTTCTCTACACCAGAACATCGCGACGTCCTGCTTGAGGGATGGTCACGAGAGCGGCGTAAAGGTGTGGACGTCTCTAGCATCCTCACGGCGAGGAGCGGCAACATACTCCTAAGCAAGTCTACTTCCCTCGTGGGCCTCCTCAAAGTCATTGGCGGAGTGCTAGACTTTGTACCCTTTGTCCGAGACAGGCTGCTACGATTGACCTTTGACGAAAGTGATGGTCACCGTGGAGTGGACAGCGGCTTCTTTTTGGAGAAGGAAGGGGGAGGTGTCAAGACGGCCCAGGTGTGCCTTAATACCATCACTGGCGTCACTCAGCTATCTGATGAGGTCATCTGGAAGCAAAGTGGCGTGCTTACCCTTCTCCTTTTGCGTCACCCCGACAAAGAGGAGGCCGTGGGTATTAAGGAAATACTCGATGAAGCGGGCCTGCCGCCGTACCTTCTCTCGGAAGATATTATTGAACTATGCGAGGGTACTTTTAACGATGGCACCGAATTGCTGTCGCATTTGGAGACTAACAAATTCTTTCTCGGCACTGAGGAAGACACCGTGAGGATCATGGCCCAGCCACTGATGCCACATTATAACCCTTCTGCTTTCCGGGATCGGTTCCAACCTGCAACCCGCTATGCACTAATCCGTCCGGATCTCATTGTCTTTTCACAAGCCCGAAGCCCGAAGCAGCTGGGGTTGCAATTAAATGCAGCCCTTAATATGTTAACTTAAGCAGTAAAGGAGTAGAAAGGTTGCTAAAAAGGGGGGTAATTTAAAGCACCTTCTTAGAATATAACTTTAAATTTAATAAATAATTAGAACTCTATATTTAAACTACTTTAGCTTTAAAGCTACTTATCTATAAGTAATAATTATTTAAAAATGTTTAATTTATATATTATAAGTAATTCTTTATATTTAAATTTATATATTAATTAAATAAATAATTTAAATCTCTATCACCTCTTAATAAGTAAGGTTTTATTAAGTTAATATTATTATAATTAGCTATTTTTATTATAACCTAGACTTAGAAATATATAACCTAGTTAAAAAACCTTTTCTTTTTAATATACTTTAACTTTTTTATATTAATTTACTTTAAAAATTATTAAGACCTTATTATTTAACCTTTTTTATAATAATTTTAAGCCTAATAGCTATATATAAGGCTATTAAAAAGAAAAAGAAAATATTAAAAATATTAAATATTATATCTCTTTAAAGTAAATACTTATTTTAAAATATAAGTAAAACTATTTTTAAAATAAGTATTAAAATTTAAATTAGAATTAAGTAAATAAATATAAAAAATATATTATTTTACTTATAATATATTCTTTTTAATTATTAATAAATTATTTATAAGTTACTTTTTTTATACTATTTATATAACTTATTTACTATATAAACCCTTATTTTTATATAATTTTAATATAAGAATATTTAAAATATATATTATATAAGCTAATTAAGTAATATTACTTTATAAAAATAAAAATTAAATTATTTTAAGTTTTTATATATATATAATTAAAAATTAGATTTTTTAAGTATTCTTTTAAATTTTATATAGAAGATTTTAAACTATTAAGGATTTCTTAGTAAATACTAGTAATTCTTTAATAATATAAGTTTAACTTACTTTAAAAATTCTCTAATTTTATATAGTTAAAATAGAATTATATAGTATTTCTTTCTTAATAATATAGCTAATAATATATATAATACTATTTTTAGTATATTTTTACTACTAATATATAGATTTATTTAAGAGATTTAAAGTTTAAGGAAAGTAGTGGGAAAAGGTGGCCAGTCTGTAGGGGTGGCCTGTCTTTGGGTGGGGGACGTTAAGACCTAGAAGTGATGTGGCCAGGTAATATACCCAAAGCGTACAACGACACTTACGAGGGAGGGAAATTGAAATTCCTAAAGGGGTCCCAACATTCGAGCAGCTTGTAGTGCATTTAGCGCTGATGGGCGGCGGGTCTTCTGTCGTGGCGGGACTAGCGCTCAGACTATTGAAAGTCGTGAAATTAGCTTCAACATAAGAATTTGCCAAGGGGGCCTAGACCAAGGTTTAAATCCTAACTAGACGCAGAGCTCTTTAACATTACGGACTGGCTGGACGCCACAGGCGTACTGCTTCTGACTCGCTGATCTCTGCTTCTTTACTACAATGGAGGTGCTGATCAAAATGGATTATACTCTATCAATTCATTTAGTAAACTCGAGGCATTTCGGCATCGACCTTGTCTTGAACAGATATGCAGCCTCGGCGGTTAATCGCGGGCTCAAAAGGCAGTTGACTTTTGGGGCTAGTCCAAGGTGAAGCTAGTCCGCAAACCATCAAAGCTGAAATGAAGACGAAAGCCAGCGCTCGGCCCATTAAAATGCTCCCGTGACCACAGATACGGCATGGCGCTGTCGCGCGACGCATCACAGGGAAATTGCGTTATTAATACCGTCCACCATGCAGATAGACTTCCCACACTTGCGTATGTGCTATCCCTTGATAGTTTACAAGGGTCAACAAATTCTTGAACCCTTGAGGCTGTGGCGGTGCAGCGACATCTCAAAATATACGTGGCCGGTTTTCAGCGGTACCTCGATGCTGGTGGTTTGTCTGCGTACAGAGGATGTACTCTTGATGTCGAGAAGCCTGCTTGAGCCCGAAAATATTCGGTACTAAAAGTCATCCCTGCAGTGCGCCGTCCCGTTCCTAAGGGATGGACACTCCCGCCTGGAATGAACTAAAGTGATCCGTAAAAGTTTTTTTAACTATTCCTCTTTTGTCTGTAGAGTAGATCCCAACTTCAGGACTTGCTAGAATAATATGCGCACACCTTTACAAGAATTACCGGATTAACTTTGTTTGCGATCCAGCGCCCATCTGCTCTTGTGCACGATTTTACAAATCAGTCAGGACGTCGCAAGTGGGTACTCGCAGGGGTATTCGCTTTTAAACAAGTGTTCATTGGTTCATGAGCAAACAGCAGGGATGTGTGCATTTTAAACGATTACTGATTGGTTACTGTGAAGCAGGGGAGAGAGCCCGCTTGAATAGCTGCTTACCCTATATACACTCTAAAGTCAACTTTTTGGCCGTTATAGGTCGCCTCGAATAGAAAAAATGCATTTTCTTCGCTTAAATCAACTTATAGAAGTTTTTACTACAGCGTGGTATATTTTTTGGTCTCGAATCACTACGGTTGGAAGATGTTGCGTCGAGATCTGCTTTTTTGCTCTGTTTGAACAGACATGTCAACCCTGACCCTTCCAACCGTCATAGATATCAAAGAAGAGCTGTAGATTATCGAGAAGGCTAGTGTTAGCCATTATTTTAGTACCTTAGGAATGCACTGGATTCTGTTGCCTTCGTACTGTTGTAGTGGATGATGTTTTAAAAAAGGGGTCTAACGGGAAGTGCTTGAGATGTCATGCGTGCACAGACCAGTATTTTGGTAATTTAATAAAATACGTAGACATGGCGGCTAATAGGCGGACGGGTACCCGTCCTTCTAAAATGGGACGGGTCCCGTCCCAATTGCCATATCTGGTATAGCTCACTCCGCTATCGGTCTCTTTCGCGCCGTTTCGAATGTCGCGTTTTATTGCACTCGTTGCTAATCGTGTCGAGACTATGGGCTTACGACGACTGCTTGGCTATGACCGTCAACCAATCTCAAAGTCCAACACCGTTTCCTGACGATTGTACCCCCCCCCCCCCCCCCCGAAGGCGAGTATGAGTCACGGGAGGCGTTATCCGAGGCAATCAACGCCTGGGCGGCGACTAGGGGCTACGCGTTCATAACTGGAAGGTCAACTAAGGAGAAAACCGGCAGGAGGACAATCACGTACATGTGTGATCGTCGCCGTAACCATCCGATCGTTTCGAGAGAACGTCAACGCAAGACGACAACTCGAACAACAGGCTGCGAGTTCTCTGTACTGGCGAAAGAGAATAAAGATAGAAGTACCTGGACTCTGCGGCACCGTTCTGACAGCCGATTCTCACTACATAACCATGAACCAAGCCGAGATACCACTGCCCACCCAGTACTTCGAACAATGTCCAAGGAGCACCTGTCTCAACTGACTGGCCTTGCCAACGCTGGGATAGCCCCTAAAGAAATTAGAACGTACATGCGGCAGAACACCGACACGATAGCAACACAACAGGACATCTACAATCGTATTGCAGATGCTAGACGAGAAGTGTGTCAAGGACAAAGCAGCATTAACGCACTTGCTGATCAGCTGCTTAGAGAAGGATTTTAGAGTCAATTTCAAACCGGTCCAGACGGTCGAGTCAAAGCTGTTCTATTTGCGCATCCCGAGTCAGTGGCATACCTACAGGCATATCCGGATGTCTTAATCTTAGACTGTACATATAAGACCAACAAATACGGCATGCCACTTTTGGACTTGATCGGTGTCGGCTCTTGTCAACGTTCGTTCTGTGTCGCGTTCGCTTTCCTGAGTGGGGAATGTGAAGAAGACTATTTTTGGGCGTTAGATCGATTCCGATCGTTGTGCGAAAACCACAGGATTAGGCATCCCTCAGTCATCTTGACTGATCGCTGCCTAGCATGTATGAATGCTGTCGATACTTGCTTCCCATCGTCAAGGCCGCTGCTATGTCTCTGGCATGCTAACAAGGCAGTTCTCCGCTACTGTCAGCCAAGATTTACGCGCCAGACTCAAGGGGACAACCCGAGAATAGAGGCTTGGAATGAGTTTTACGGCCATTGGCATTCGATCATCAAGTCACCGAATGAACAAACTTTCCACGAACGAGTGTCCGAGTTTGAGAAGAAATATCTCCCGGACTATATCGAAGAAGTCAGATATATCAAGACAAACTGGCTTGACAAATACAAAGAGAAGCTGGTGAAGGCGTGGGTCAATCAACACCCCCACTTTGACAACGTCGTTACTTCAAGAGTTGAAGGCATACACTGGCTGCTTAAGAGCCACCTCAAAGTATCTACATTGGACTTGTTCGAAGCTTGGCGATCGATCAAACATGCACTACTGAATCAACTGGCGGAGCTGAAGTCGAACCAAGCCAAGCAGAAGATCAGGACCCCTATTGAACTCTCCAGTGCCCTTTATGGTGCAGTACGTGGTTGGGTGTCTCATGAAGCTTTGCGAAAAGTTGAGCAGCAACGAAAGCTTTTATTGCATGAAGGCTCTGCTCCTTTGTCGGCCTGTACTGGTTTTTTCTCACGATCACAAGGGCTACCCTGCGCTCACAAGCTGAAGGGTTTATTAGTTCGAGACCAGGCACTACAACTCGAAGATTTCCATCCGCACTGGCACTTGACTCGGAAAGATAATCGGCGACCCCTCTTAGAACCCTGCCAGCGAGTCGATCCAGTGGCTGCGAGTTCGTCTCTGCCGTTATCTAGTGTGAGAAGAGAACTTAGTGGCTTCGAAGTCATCGAAAACGCAAGGCCGATACGAAACCCTCCTTTGTGCAGCAAATGTCATATACTAGGTCACGCAAGGAACTCTAAGGAGTGTCCACTACGATACTCAGAACTAAGAGCATTGCCAGTCGTATCTTCAGACCAGCCGCAGACGTGTTCAGAAAACTTTCAGTGGATACCCTTTGCGGTCCCGGAGGAGCCAAGGCCACCAGCGATGGAAACGCTCGACGAAATACTGTGGCAACCAATCACGACTTTGGAAAATTTCGAGTTTGAGCCTGAATTAACTTGTCAAGATCTGCCATGCCAGTTGACCATCGAAACAGAGCAGGTGGACCGACACATAACGACTCCAGAACCTCGGCATCTATCACCTGCACCATCTATGTATACACCGCCGGTATCTTCACAGTTAACCTCGAGAGACCCAGCTTCAGACCCAACTACACATCTAAGGTATGACGATCCACGAGCCATCCATCAGAGATACGTCAAGTCAAGAGAGGACTGGTATAAGGCTCAACCCCTGGGACCCTGGCTTGGTAATCGCCAGTATCGAAAAGCAATGGGCTTGTCTTTAGGATACCCAAAAGCAAGCTACAGCTGGTGCCTTGATTATAAGCAGATGGGGAGGTACTGCAAAACCTCGACGGGTCTGAGAGAGTGGACTAAAGAAGAGATGATGGCTTACTTAGACTGGGACAAAGCAGAGACTGATCGCATCGAAGCACGAGTAGCTGAGGAGACCGAGAACGGACGACTGTTTACAAGCAGAAGAGGTATGGGTGAGCTTTGGGAGATGGCTCAGCGGGATATCGATGAACAAGAAGCCTTGTATTCTGCTGCGGAACAGGAAGAAAGTTGTATTGTAGTTCAGCCGTAGTTCTAGTAGAGTTTATTAGAGTGGATGTATCACTTGAATACATCAAGGCTGTTCAAATCAAAGTCATCGACTTGCTTTGAAAAAAAACATAGCAGGTTAATGGGACTTCAAGTAAAACCACTCGAGATAGTGGAATTGCACAGCGGGAGGCAATCCGATAGCGGAGAGGGCTAGACTGAATATGGCAATTGGGACGGGACCCGTCCCATTTTAGAAGGACGGGTACCCGTCCGCCTATTAGCCGCCGCCTATGCCCGCTCTAGGGACCCAATAGGCCCACGGGTACCCGTCGCTATAAGATTTTCCAAACTTTCCAGAATATCTTACCTAAATTTACGAATAAAACTATCAAAACATTTCTATAAGTAGATGATGGCATTTTGAATAGATCCGAAGCTTTCTCTCGGTTTTAAATCATTTATTGTAATTTATTTGGATTTTTACAACGTAGAGAATTTTATTCCCACGGGTACGTAACCAGAAGCGAGATTCTTATGTAAGCGAAACTTTTGAGATGTTTTAGTTCTCCGAATTCTATATATTATTATGTAAAACTATCTTAGAGATTTGAAGTACGATCCAAAGATACTGTAGGCGTTTTTTTACATTTTTAAGATCTTTCTTTGTGTTGTAAAATGAAGAATGATGAAAATATTTATAGCGACGGGTCCCGTGGGCCTATTGGGTCCCGTCACCAACATCATTACGAGACACGGCATTACGAGACGCGGCACGGCGAGACACGGCACGGCGAGACACGGCACGGCGAGACGCGGCACGGCGAGACGCGGCACGGCGAGACGCGGCACGGCGAGACATAGCAGTCGTGAGAACAGAAATCGTCAGATGTAACTAATAGTGTAAACCATATATTACTTCCCGTATCCAGTGCAGCTGGCCGGCGGCGCCTCATCAGCATTAAGGTTGATGCTGTGTCACAGTGGAAAGCAGCGGTGGGAAAAAAAGAAAAGTTCTTATCCGAAGGCATCCACCATCTGTATACACGGACGGGAAGAAGAAACACAGGTCTGCCAAGCGGATCAAACTAGCTTGCTCTTGCCTTCATCGCCTTATAGGAGCCGTGTTAGGATTAGTGTCGATGTCGGTACCGATGCTGTGATTGTGTCTCTTTCTATCTCAGGCATGACTATAAAAATAGCCAAGGCTCTCTTGACCTCCACTGCCTCCCATTTCGAATATGGGTTAAATTCTCTTCCTTTTACTCGAAATTGCTCCTTTGACGGTTGTACACGCGCTGCTTCTGCGTCTTGCCTCCGCGCCTTCCTTCACGCCTCCGACGTCGTCTGGTCCTGACCGACTCAACGACAATCGTGATTCTATAACGGACCATCTCCTTTTAGTTTCTTCTCTTCTGCCGCTTTCGCTCGTCTAGATACAAGTCCTGAGACCTTTAAACAAGACTTCTCGTCCTACTGATGCCGTCCCTTCCATTCCTTCAAGCCTCTCCTCCCTTCGACATACGCCGCCGCCATCTTGCAATACCTGGAACCCACCCGACATCTGACGTCTGACACTATTCACTCGCATTAAACCATATCTTGTCTCATACTAGCATCACACAAGTAGCCCATCGCATTGTAGGTTCTGATGTATACGTTCATAGATCTCTGAGCAGCGAGCTGACATGTCACCCCAGAAGCAAGACACGATATAAGACTACTAGTAGCCCTATACACGTAAACCGTTACAATTGCTTCTCCTTTGGCGATGCCCGCTGTTATCTCAGCGCTAGCCGTTGCCCCAGCTCCCGCGGTCACTGACTATGCAAATCACTTGGCAGACGCGCCAGTAGAGCTCCCGGAAGGCTTTCCAGAGGTGCTCGATGGGCCCATGGCTTGGACTGGCTCTCAGTTTATGGATCAGTCAGACTACATCTACACTCTGAGTGAGTCTGATTTGCAGGAAACTGAGAATGCCCTGTGGTACTTTAAAAGTTCGTTTTGTTCCACTCTCGTGACTTCATTCCCCCGTGGATCTGTGGACCTGTGGATCCGTGGACCCCAACGGTATGGATCAAGCTAGATTTTACGGCTAACCCCGAAACAGCACGAGGACTTGACGGGGATCTTATCTCTCGAGACAACTTCCCTCTTCCCATCCTAGGCTCCCGACTTGACAAAATTCGACGAGATATTTATCATGGCAAAGGCTTTGGTCTCATCCGTGGGCTCGACCCACAGAAATACTCAACTGAGGATCTTACTCTGCTTTATCTTGGCATCCAGTCGTACATTGCTAATCGCAATGGTCGGCAGGATGGAAAAGGCAATATGCTAGGTCTATGCTTCCACCTTTGGTCATGCTACGTGGTGCTCGTCTAAGCTGACATGAGTCTCAGTTCACATTACTGCCGATAGCTCATCCAAGCTCAAGGCTGGGCATCATCGTCACTCCACGGCGTCTATCGTGAGTTACTTTTGACCTCAATGCCCTTAGTTGTGGGGTTTCTTGCTAACTTGCAACCTAGACTTTTCATAATGAAGAAGCTGGTGACGTCATTAGCTGGCTCACACGGAGCACTGCTGCGGCGGGAGGTAAGTGCATCATTGCATCGGCCTACACTGTCTACAACCTCTTGGCTGCGAGTCGACCCGATTTGATCAACGCGCTCGCTCAATCTGATTGGCCGTTCACTATGTATGTGCCCGCTGATCTCGTTCGAGCGGGACCTGTCTGACATACCATGACTGCGATAGGCCCCATTTCCAGCACAGGCCCGTCCTGTTCCATCACGAGGGAAAGGTCATCATCAACCTCAATCGAGTAGCGTTAACGGGAAGTGCTGTTCATCCGCGCTCTTCAAGCCTTCCATGCGTTAGTCCACGCCAGCTCGAAGCCCTTGATGCGATAGAGAGCATTGCCGAGGCGGTGCAGCTCGAGATCGGCACCCAGGCCGGTGACATGCATTTCGTCAACAATCTGACTATCCTGCACCGACGGGAAGGATTCGTCAACGGCAAAACCATAGACGAACGACGACACTTGGTCCGGATGAGACTTCGGGACGATGACCTCAGTTGGAAGCTCCCTGAAGATTTGAGACAAGAATGGTCAGCTGCGTTCGACGAGACAGCGCCCAAAATTTGGCATCTTGAACCTATGCCGGACGGCTTCTTTCCACTCAGATCACAAGCCAACTGAAGCTTGCCTAGTCTCTGTTCCATGCCTGAAAGTGAGACCATATACGCCCCTTGGGAGACATTGTATTGAGTCTAAAACCTGAGTACGCTAGTGAAGACAGGTGCAGAGGCAGACGAAACTGGAAATATAGAGTCCTGATGGTATTCTTTAGTTCTACTGAAAAGGGATCAATGGGGGAAGGGAGGTTTGCCTGAAAGCCTACTCAAGAATTACTAGCAGAAACGCATTGCGTTTCCTGTTTTTGACCAATCATCGTCTAGCATTTTAGCCCCGTATTTCCCGGATGGAAACGCACTGCGTTTCTTGGACCGCACTCATGAAATTAGAAAACCTAAAACACGAAACGCGTCGCGTTTCCGTCGGCTGACCCTTGTCAAGTTGTTGAACTTGATCACTCCAGACCCAAAAAACGGCATGATTCTGCTATTGCTTGCTGGATCTGACAAACCTATCGTCTTCGTAAAACGCCTAATCGATATTCTCCGTTTCATCCTATGTTATTATTTTTCTAAGCTTAGTCATAATGGACCTCTTACCTGTTCAGGAGCAAAGTACTCATCCCATTTATCCCCAACAAAGGTGCAGAAGCTCGAAACGCTCGGCCTTTACTACAACTCGCCAGAGCAAGCTACCATATGTACCAAATGCGGTTTTGCTTTGAGTCCCAGACGCGCATCGGAGCATCCCGGCAAAAAGCATGGCATTGCCAGATCTGCTCGGCGTGGCCTCAAGTCCCTCCTGTCCTCACTGAACCTCCCAGATCAGACACTTTGGCCCCCAGACCTCATGGATCACGACGTCACCCGTACCTTGCCGTACAATAAGGCCTGTCTTGTAAGCACTGCGGTCTCCACTCTGCTAGTGGGAAGGTTCTGGAGGATCACCTCAGGGCCGAACACCGCGACAATTTGAAACTCACGGCTGAAAAGAAAAGCCGACAGCACTAGCTTCGAGACCATATTCGACAAGAAGTTTTGTTCCAGAGCTGGACAGCGAATAATACTCGAAGGTCATGGCTCGTCAGTAGTGACAATGACGTCAACAGCAGGTCTATACCCGGCAGCATTCTTCTACAAGCCAGTCCTGATCCCATCAAGCTCCTTGCTCAGAAGCTGTTCACCGAGGAGCATGTTCGGTTGGAAAACCAGCAGAGTGGAGGTTGAAGGTCGCGTGTTCAAGAGACGCCAGCTTCTTCCGCCTTACAGACCAACTGGCTGCGGCGCACAGGCTGGGAAACCACATTTAGAAAAGCGCGTTGTGATGTTCTAGTTCGCCTGACAGCGCTACCTCACTGCACGGATAACCGACCCCTGCCTCTTGGTGTCGTTGAAGGAGAAGCCATCATCAGTCCGGCACTTGATGAACGAAGGCTATTATTGCCGCGCTTGATCGTCTCCTGGATCAATGCGGTGAGACAGTCCGGACGACGGATGTATGTTTGAGAAGGTGGCTCCGCGGCAGGTATCCAGACCGCCCCTACAAGATGCCCTTCGAATTGGTTGCAAGGCCGTCTTCCGAGAAGGTATATCGGAAAGAACTGAAACGCTTTGTCTGTTTCTGGCTCCGATTATTCCGATTATTGCCGACGACTTTTCAGAAGGTTACAGGGCATAGGCTGAAAAAGCATCAGTTTAGAGTCCTACGGGAGCTTTGGTTGGATGACATATGGAAGTCCGCGGAACATAGTGATGTAGACCCTGCTGCTAACAAGGATGGAGGACACGATGGGGACGAAGGGGAGTATGAGGATCAGGATAATGATGAGGATGAGGACGAGTATCCAGATGATGACGAGATCCAAGATGATGATGAAGGTGAAGATGAAAGTCAGGAAAGGGTGGTTGTGGACACGAGTGATCTATCTGGTGACGAGGCAACTTCCACTTGGTCTTCGAACAGTCAAGAAGATCACCCACCAGATCCCGCGCTCGATATTTTACTGCGCTTTTGTTACTCTGCTGTTACTGAGGATTACGACGGCGGTGTCGCGAGCTCGACCATGCTGGTGTACTTCAGTGCCGTGCGCGGGCTAACGACCCCAGAAGGAGATCAGCACTTGAAGCCTCACCGATTCACCCCGATTTTGGCGAAGCTTATATACTGTTCTCGATTGGTATTTCGAGCAAGGCAATAACTAGCGAAGTGTATGTACCTTTAGCTTCAGAGCCCATTAGGCGTTGGCCTACAGGGCGTAATAGACTTGTATTGTATTGTTACTCCGGTTTATGAGGGATAGATTTGACTTCTCTAAGTCAATTAAAATTTGTGAAGATCGAGGCGTTGCGGACAAGGCCAATCGATGAAACTCAGAAGCTAAGGAAACTCTTGGATGACATGTTTCCATTGGATGGGCAAACTTTACTGGGAGGAGGGGAGTATTCGCTAAACGTGACAGGCGGATTAGATATAAGACCCATTTGAGGTTATGTTATAGTTTGGTTTGAGCTTTGAGATTCTATCTTAAGATGGATTCGGCCGTATTGCCACTTGCTCTTGTTCTGATCCACCATCTCTCGATGTGTTAATATTCGTCGTACTACCCGAATCCTCAACCTTCTTCACCCCTTCGTCTCCAGACGTCTCATCGGACTCATACGCATCTTGTGGCGCTTCATTCCGCCGCGCCCAATCTCTATACTTCTTCGCCAGCCCCGCCATCGTCGGCTGGTCCTCGGTGGGATTTGACAAGCTCCTAACCCGCCACCCAAGTTTATCCCCAGACTTGTATGTAAATTGGGACTCTGAAGAATGTCTTGAGTGCTGTCTCTTATGCGGAAACAGTTGCTCTACATCGCAGACTTCAGCGCGTTTTATCGGTGCAGCTTTAGGTCTTGCGTCAACTTCGCGCGCGCGCTCTTTGAACCGCGTGAAGTTATCCTCCACTAGACCTAGGATGTTCTCGAGATACTCAACAGCCAACACTGGGTCCCCGATGGCGGTGTCGCCGTGCTTTTGGTAGTGGGAGATGTCGTAGAACATGGCGAGGTAGGCGAGCATGGCTGTTTGTCGGGGGCTGGACGGCTGCTTCAGGGCGTAAAACTCGTTTGCGTTTTTGGGGAAGTATGTTGCCTCCGGGTATGTAATGCCTTGCTTTGGTAGGTATACGGGAAGTGCTTGGATGGGGAGAAAAGGATTAGATAGTTTTCCGTTTTGAACATTCGCTAGGACTCGAACATTTTCGGTTCTTAGTTCGTCGAAGCGTTGATGAACGTCTCGGAAGCGGTCGTCGATGGACTTGAACTCGTAGTCGAGTGCCTCTCTCAGCTCAGTATTTTCTTGGCTTCGGACCGTTTTCTCTTTCGTAATGGTATTGCGCAACTTGCGGATGTCTTTTGTGTTGGTATCGACATCGCTCTGGAGGCCGCGAATACTTTCACGGAATGCTCTGAGGTCGTTCCGGATTTCGTCCCTGAACCCGCTGAGTCCCCGCTTGATTTCCAGGACAATTATGTTCTCCATAATTTGTTTTGCTCAGTAATTCTCGGTCGCTGATTGTGGGGTTTGTTGGTGTCTGTTGGTCGAGGTGACGTGACTGATTTGATTGATTTGATTATATCCTACTCGGTTGTAATCATCTAAACGATTATGCCCGGATAACGGGGTCCGGCGAACAGCCGAAGCCACGCGGATCAGTATTGTTCCGCGGTGCCCCACTTCGCCAACGTCAAACATCGTTGGCCAGCTGTTCCCAAAATTCCCGCTTTTCTCTCTCTAACCACTATTTACATTTGCTGGCAGGCCCATGTACGCAGTGGTTTAATGCTAATGGATCCTTGATTCGAGGCTCTCTCGGGTTGTGAAGCCCTCTCTTTCGCGACCGCGTACCTACAGTCTCCCCCCAGTGCTCAGCTTTGTCTATTAAGGTCTCGATCCAGAAATTGCCCAAGGATCTGAGTCAGTTCGATGAACTTGATTGCCTTGGCGGCTGCATTGCGCTCGTTCAGTAGCTTCCGGAGATTGTTGCGTCCTCGGAGTCGTCCCAGTTCCTGGTCCCGGAGTTGGCGGTGTCGACGGCAGCGTAAGAGGACGTGCGCTACCGTTTGTCGATCCGATCCGCAGGGGCATCTGTTGCTGGTGATACCTGGTACTCTTCGGCTGAAGAGGAAGTCATTGAAGCCTATCTTCTCTGTACGCAGCTGCATGAGGAGTGCGCTGCGCTTCTTGATGAGCCCATCGTGCAGGTCCAAGACCTTGCGCGAGGGTTTGGGCGTGTGCCTGAAGGATGCTCGGCCGCGTGTCTCGGATACCCAGCTTGTCTCCCATGATTTGATGGTCTCTTTATGAGACCATGTCTTCATGGTTGATCGAAGTGGGTATAATTGCTGTGGTTCTACTGCTCTCGGTCCTGTGAGGCCGCCTTCTCTCCAACCTGTCGCTTCTTTTGCTGCTCGATCTGCGTCTTCGTTGCCTTGGATTCCTATATGCGCAGGGACCCATCTGATCTCGGTATTCAGGTCTTGTGTTCGGAGTTCGTCGATCTGTTGTGTGATATTCTTGAGCAGGTATGCGCCTGATTTGCCCTTGGGCCTGGCGGTGGATCGAATAGCGGCCTGGTTGTCGGTGTAGATCGCGACCTTGCTTCTTCTGTTGCCTTTCGATCTGTCTTCTTGTGCGATCTGGAGGGCTAGGCTGATGCCCTGCAGTTCACCGGCGTAGACGGTGGAGGTTGTCTCGTCGCCCATATATGCACTCTTTGTTTCTTGGGTAGTGGTGCAGACCGCGGCAGCACCGATGCTGCCGTCGATGCCACTACCATCTGTGTAGATGTGTATTGCATCCAGCTCGTCTTGTATGATTTGCTCGTGTCTGGCTTGCGCTTCCTCTATGCTTGCTTCGATGAACGTCTGTGGACCTTGCCACCACGGGGGCACTATGTAAGGAGTGATGTATTCTTGTCTCCGAATATTTGGCCCTTGGCGATCGGTGATAGATTGCTCGATAGCTCTTCTCGGGCTTTTCTTGTTTCTTCTCGTTTCCCCTTCCGTGGGCCCATGATCACCCGGGCCGATCCTTCCAAGAGCGTTGACATTGTGCTTGAAGATCTGCAATTCGACTGGTAGAAGGTATGTTTCTATGTCAAGGGCCGGTATGGACGTTGCCTTGAACGCCCCACTGATCACCCTGGAGGCTCTTGCCTGTAGGCTTTGAAGCTTGCTCAGTGTTCGCTCAGTATATGGCTTGTCCCTGGTCCTCCAGTTTGCATTCGACCAGGCAGAACAGGCGTACATCATCTGTGGCACCGCCACTCCTTTGTAGATCTTGCGCATCTCTCGCATTGTCACACCCCAAGTTGAGCCGCCGAGGCTGCCTAGGGCGTTGACTGTCTTGGTGACCTTGCGTTGTACTTCGTCTATGTGTTGTTTCCAGGTGAGGGTGGAGTCCATGATGAGGCCCAGGTACTTGCATGTTTTCTTTGGTTCGATCATGCCCCATCTTGTCTGAAGGGGTTCCTCTACATCTATTCTTGTTCTTGTCCTCGTGAAGTGAGTGAGCTGGAACTTGTCTGGCGCGAAGATAGATGCATGAGTGGCCGCCCACTTCTCTGCGACGTGGAGTGCCTCTTGTAGCTTTTTGCATGTCTCTTTCGTGGAGTCTGCCCAGGTCAGGATAGCCACGTCGTCTATGAAGCCGGTTGTCATTGTGTCTTCTAATTCTCCGCACTTTTCTATTAGATCCGCGTTGTAAAAGAGGTAGAGGATCGGTGATAGATTTGATCCCTGTGGCTCTCCTGTCTCCAATCTGTAGGGTTCAGATGTGAAGCCATCAATTGATAGCTTTGTTAGTCTCGGGCGCAGGAAACTTCCGATCCACTTGACTGTTCTTTCATCTATCCTTCTCTTCCGCAGATTGTGCAATAGGCGTGCATGTGAAATGTTGTCAAACGCCCCTGATACATCCAGAAGCAGTAGACTTGCCACCTTGCCTTGCCCAGTGTTCCAGGCGTCATATATCTTGTCGATGATGAGGTGAAGGGCGTGTTCTGTTGATCGCAGCTTTCTTCCACCCATATGGGTATCGGGCAGCAAGCCATGAGTCTCGGCGATGTAGCTCAGCCTCTTTGCTATCACCGCTTCCATGATCTTTCCTGTAGTGTTTAATAGAGCGATTGGCCTGTAGGCCTTTGGCACGGTATAGTTGTCTTTCCCTGGCTTCCTGAGGATCACCGTTGTGGATTGTCGAAAGTGTTCCGGATAGTAGCCAAGGGCGAGGGACTGATTGAATATCTTGCTGAGATGGTGCTTGATCCAGGGAGAGGCGATATGGAGTGCTTTGTTCGCGATGCCGTCTGGTCCTGGAGCCTTGAATGGGGATGATTCTTCAATGGCTTCTTCTATCTCTCTCGTAGTTATCGGTGGCATGGTTATGGGAGCAGGGTAGTTGGCATTCTCTATGTCTTCGAGATTGGTTTCAGGTGGCACTGGAAAAAAGGCCTTTCTGAGAAGCTCTGCTTTTTCGTTTGGGGTATTTGCTTGTTGCTTTGTGGCTGGATCAATCAGTGCTGGTGTTACATTCGGACTTTGGTTATGTCTGTTTCGGGCCCATGTTGCTACCCGCCAGAGGTTTGTTGGGGATTGAGAAGCTTCTTCTATCCTCTCGCGATGGTTCTGTCTGAGCGCTTTCTTGATGGTTCTACCTTTGTGATTTCTCGCCGTTCGGTATGCTTCCCATGTCTCTTCGGTATGGTATAAGCTGTGTTGCCGACGGAGTCGTTTTGATTGTGCCAGTACTTTGGCGCATTCTTCATTCCATCCTGATTTCGATCTAGACGATGGAATCGTCGTCGGTACTGCTTCCTCGACAGCTACCGTTAAGGCTACCATCACTTCCTCCACATGTCTATCCAGAGCTGTCTTCGTTCTTGGTCTTTGCTGTGGCGGAAGCTCCCGCTGCAGCACGCGAGTGAATGTCTTTTCATCTAAGGCTTTCCAATTTCGCCGGGGCTTGGCCATCATTTTGAGAATATTCAGGTCTAGTGAGGTGACGATAGGTAGGTGGTCAGAGTCGTGGTCCATGTTTGTTTCGATTTCGCACTGAATCAATCTGCCCACCAGGCCCGCCGTCGTGAGGCATAGGTCTATGGTCGTTCTTCCGTCGCGCTCTTCATATGTGATAGTGCCTGGGACAAGATTGCTCGTGAGACAGTGATCTTCGATGATTGTGATGAGCTCGGCAGCATTAGGATCCGCTCGCTGGACCCGGTCACCTCCCCACAGCTCGTGGTGTAGATTGAAGTCGCCAATGATGATCTGTTCATGTTGGGATGATTGTTCCAGTGCTTTGCCGAGAAGGGGTAGCGTGCTCCCTCTTTCGGTTGCGGTTTGTGTCGGGTTGTAGACATTGTGAACCATAATCCATTGCTCCTCTTCTGTTCCGAGTCTTAGGTTTAGTGAGCCGAGATCTCTGTTTGCCTCTTCAAAGTGCCACCTGGAGTGATCGAGTCTCTTGTTGATGAAAAAGCAGACCCTGGCTGGAAGGGTTTGGTCTTTGTCTGGGTAGCATAGGTGAAATTGATCCTTAGCTGGGTGGTGAGTTGTCGTGTCGAATGGGTTCTTCCAAGGCTCCTGGATAGCGAGGATGTCGTATCGTCCTATGTCGGGATCTCGTAAGAGCGTGGCCATGACTGTGTCTTTGGATTTTCTGACGTTGTACTGTAGTATTGTAAGAGTATTTTGTGTTAACATTCTTGGTCGTCGATTTCCATCTGTTGACCATGCTGTGTGGTTTGTCTGTTGACGTCCAGTGCTTCCAAGACCCTCCTGGAAGCGGCTGCCGTTCGTCTTGGCCGCTGGCTCCCCATGTTTACGACGATCTCGCTATCGGGATTATCTGACGCCACCTGGTCACTGCCAGGGTTCGCTCTTTTCTGTAGCCTCTTGGTAGGCGACCTGCTCCGGGTCGAACTGGCGTCCTGGGGTCGGCCTGATTCCAAAATAGGTCGTCCTGTCCTGGTGATTGTGTTGGTGTTGTTTTGCCGCTCCCGCGTTCTGGTTCCGGTAGATATCCTGGTGACGAAGCTTTCTAGCTCTAGATGATATCTGGGCCGCAGTTTAGAGGCCGCTTTGGCCTTATTGACCTCCTGCTTCCTGACAGGGCATTGGTTATTCCAGGCTTCGTGTACACCGTTGCAGGCCGCACATTTCCGTGGTGCGTCCCTATCGCTCTTGGTTGGGCAATCCCGGGTAGGATGCTCTTGCGCGCAGTAGCCGCATGTTATTGTTGCCTTGCACTGGGTTCCTATGTGGCCATATTTGTGACACTGGAAGCATTGTCTCACGCGGCACTGTCTGTCATAGAGTTCGCATTGGAACACCTCGCCTTGCCAAATGAGGCCCTCATCAATAACTTTATTCGCATCTTCCGGTCGTGTGAACTCGACCACGACCGAAGATGCTGATTTAGAGGACGAAGATCTCGTCAGCCAGCCTATGTACTTGATCTCCGCAGTTGGTATGAAAGGCTTATTATCCTGCAATAACCCCTCTCTAATGAGTTCGAAGTTATCCATATCCATCGAACTAGTGCGTACACCATGTACCAAGACACCATACGTCGGAATGCGTACAGTGGCACCGTTTCCGATCCTTTGTTCCCAGTCTTCTGCAAACTGTCTAAGCGCTACCATGTCCGATGAAGTGGCCGTCTTGATGCTCAAGTCACCGCTCCTGAGCTGATTGGAGGATACTACCTTGATCTTCTCTATGTGTTCGTTGCTGCTTTGTGCGATTGCGAGGTCTACATGTGACTTGAGGCTACGGGGACTCATCGCTCTGATGTTGGCTATAGTGACAGGGTCTCTGATATTGATGATGATCTCGCGTACGGTCTGGACAGGTGATGCTTTCTGGTTCTGTGGGTTATGTATGCTTGTCGCCAGCCCTCCCCTCGCCATCACGTTGGCGTAAGTGGGCGTGATGCTAGCATGGTTTTGCTGGCTCACGAGCTTCATATCTCTGATCATTTTCATTGTTGCTTTACCGATTTCCGTGGCTTCTTTCGCGGCCGTTTTTGCGTCCATCGCAATTTCCGAATTACGTTGAACTACTTCCATGGTTTGTTGAGCTTTAGTGTTTGTTTCGTTGAGCTCATTTTTGAGGCTGTTGACGTGATGCGCTAGGCTTTCGGCTGCGGCTTTTGTTTCGACTTGGCCGATTTTCACTGCTTCGTAGACGTGACCAAGATCGGGCGTGCTCTGCATTTTGACGATGAGGGTGAGAGCCCCAATGAGGGCAACTCGAACTCCTCGGGATGCAACGGGTAGACCATCGCCGTTGTCGATGGCTGACAGTGCCTTTTGGAGATATGTTATGTTATGTTATTATGTTATGTTATGTATATTTTTCGTCCGGGGGGCCATAGGCCCCGAAAGTCCCCTATTGGGGCACAGGACGTGCTGAGCTAGAGAAATCGGCATCTATCTACACACCAATTACAGAAATGCTATTGGACATAAAGGATTAGTCGCGAAATTAGTCTTCGCCATGGTGTCCAATTTCTGCAAACGCGTCAGTGAACCGCACTCGATCCAGCATATCAACGGCACAAATGGCGCATCCTATCGGGCCTGTTACCCGTCAGCGGGATGATCAGGCGCGGCCGAGGAGTCAGAGCCGCTTATGAAACCTGGTGTCAGGAGGGCTGAGATCAGCCTATGCATACGGCAGTCCGAGACTGCCTCAAAGTAGTCACGACCGGATGGAGGGCGTGATGGCGCCCTTCATCTGGTCGAGCACAGGTGAGAGGAAGATAAAGAAAGTAAGAGAATGTGTACAAAAGAGATGTGAAAAGAGAGGGGGAGAGAGTCGCAAGTGCTTCTCTGGTCGTCGTCGCCTAATAGCGAGGGCAGATCTTTCTAAAGAACGCGCTGTTCTTGGACAAGTTGACAAATTTGGTGAAGTCTTTTCCTATTGCAAGATTGACTGCTGCATTCGGTGATGGTGAGAGCGGAGTGAAGAGATAGGCTATTTGAACCCTAGGGTAAGTAAATGAGTATTAAGGAGAAGATTCCTCAGGTAAGCTTATAATGGTAAACGTTGGCTGTTTTAACGCGCTCTTGGCAGCACCTTGTTTACGAGGTTGAGCAGATTTCGGACTCGCTTATCAATCGTGGACTCCTTTACCTCTCGGCATATGATAGACCAGAGCAGGAGGCCGCCTCTTTATTATATCGGGCCCGGCATTTCAAGGTCCAGGCCGGCATGGACAGCTTATGCGGTACTGCAGAGGCCGAACTAATCGCTTATTACCAAGCCATCCTACCCCTATTCCTGGCGCAGAAGCGTTTCTTCCAACCACGGATCTTCTGATATACAGATGCTATTAAGGCGGTAGTATGCAGTTATGAACGACTAGGGATAGGCATATTTAACGGCTAACTAAAAGGGCAGGAGATGGGTCTCCTGCAGCGTCCTAATAGCAATACGGAGTCCATCTTCTAGGGATGTAGACGACTGGTAATGTGCTGTATAGTGCTTGATAGAAACGGTAGTACCTTTTTCGTGAATACTGTTAATATACTCTATCGCCATGAGGCCGCTAAGGATTAGGTCTTCGCCGAATGCTTCGAATCTACGGCTGATTAGGGGCGAGCGCTGAAGGTAGATTATCGGCGTAAGCAGAACCTAGCAGCCCTTCTCCTTCGTTTCTACCGTCAGTATGTTACCAACTGATCGCATTAACTTGGTGTCGAAGGGTGCCCCTATCGCTGTTGCTAAGGGGAGGACGGCGCCTTGAGGTTGGCGAAAGTTGATTAACGCGAGATTTCTAAGTAAATACTAATAGACTAACTCATACTATAAAAAATGATATACCCCGCGCCCTATGTGGTCCGTCTGTTGTCTGTGTCGGTGAGGGTCACTATAAAGTTCGGGCATTAATTTGAGCTCACCAGCAACGTACCGTGATCGAGGGGATATTCAGGCGCTATACAGGATGGGTAGACCATGTATCTCAACCGGCGAGGAGCTTAACCTTCTCCTTAAGCGTAAGGTCTGTCAATATTTAGACTACGTTCAGAGTCGAAGACATGATGAGACTTAAAAGGGGAGTCTGTGAGATGCAGTGGTCAAAGCCGTTGTGTTGACCAGAGAAGTTTATTTTTTACAAACAGCCTTTCTAAGTAAACAAGTCTTGCATTTTCGAGGTGATAGTTTCCTGCTAAGCGTTAAATATGCCAATCTTTCTCGTGGGTCGATTTTTGGGCATGCGCGCGGCATCCTTGGTGACGTGACCATGGTTCTATAAGCTCTGGGTAACGGCACAATACTGCCAAATATAAGGCACACTGTTATGGTATCGGTATATGCAAGAACATAGTCCGGTCCAAGTGTTCTGAGGCCACATATGAACACTTAAGCCCATCATGGCAATCGACCAAGTCCGCCAAAGCGTACCTCAGCGCCTTCCAGGATATCGGAAATTTTTCTCCTGCAGAGGTTTAGATTTGATCGAGAGTAGGCTCCTGGGCGCCTAGGCGGGCCTTATCGAACCCCGCTCAGCCTACTCAGTGTGGACAATGGTAGTTTACCCGGGGGTCGAGGGTCCTCTGATAGCGTCGGTTAAAATGAAAGGTACTGTAGAGAGTAAGGGTTAGCATAATGGTTCGTTCCAAAGCTTCCCCGCCCCAGGAAAACGAGATAAACGAGCAAAGTGCCCCACATTGCTCGTATCGACTAGCTTATGATTCACGCGAATCAAAGTGCGTTATCCAAGTCAGGATTTCGAGTGTGTTGCTCTGGCATGCTATTACTCTGCCACGCCCAAAATTCTCCGCCTCGCCTTATATTTGAAACCCTGCGAATGGGGCATCAACCTCGTGACATCTGAGATTCTCTTGACCATTCCATCGTGTTGGTCAGAGTCGGTCTACATCGGAATCGAGGCACTCGTACAAACTCATCTGACACGAGTCATGTAGGTTGCAGCGTATGTACTGTCACGAATCAAGAGCGCCAGCGGCACCAATCCTAGTCGTTAAGATTTCCCCTCAACCTTATACGGGTCGAAAGGAATTGGAGATCAGGATGAACGCCACTAGGCTCTTCAACCCAATATCATGTGAGTGCGTCACGAACCAACCACAATAAATATCCTTATCCAGTGATGTACACAAGATACTTGTTTGTCGTACAATGAGAGAAGGGGCAAAAACGAAAAACTGGCTCAGCTCTTTTCACAATCTCTATCCCGCACTGACTGAATGGCGCTTGTCAATGTTCAGATTTACTGAACGAACGGGGCAACATCTACGTTGAATTTAATCATTTACTGACCTGATTATTCTTGAAAAGTCATAAGATAATCCACTTCACTGACGGCAATGCTATATTTCCAACTCCTTTCCTTTAATAAATCCGTATGACTTCGATCAAGTCCCTGATTTAATTTAATGTCACATTTTAATGTTTAAGTTATTTGAAGTACCATGGGCGAAACGCTTTAGAGCAGCTTAGACTATCTAGTAACCAGATCAATCCTTCATGTCGTTGTGGAAATACTGTTCAGAGTGTAATAGTTCTGAATGGGTTCAGAAATCTTTGTACCTATTTTAGAACTAATTAAGCATCCTTTGCCAGGGTATACACTTCAACTTGTGCAACGCCAGTACGAGCCGGTACAGTAGTCGCAACAGGGAAATAACCATAGTCAGGCTCCTCATTTGGCATAACCACGGCCTCGCCTCCTTTTGTCTCATCACCGTTGAACATGCGCAGAATATGGAGCTTTCCCTCCTGGTCACTTTCCATCTCCTTGACACTACGGAGACCGGTGAAAGCAACCCCTTTTGCCAAACCCTCGAAGCGGGCTTGGAAGCCGTATCCAACGACCATGAACTTACGATCAGCCAACCTGATAATAAGGCCTCCGGCGGGACCTGGTTTGCCAAAGGTAAAAGCTCGCTCCACACTGACCTCAATGTCTCCGAATACCTTGACCCATGGCTTATCGACCCTAGCAGTTATTTCAATCTCGTCAAAGAAGAAGCCAAACCGGTCGGCAGGTAAGGCACTCAAGATAAAGTCTTTGACCTTGGTTAGGACCTTGTACTCCCTACCAATGGCTTCAGCTCCGGTATCAATGCCGAATGGACTCACGCCGAGCGCGCCATATGTTCCGTAAGCCAGCCACATCCTGCGACCACCTTCCCTGTCCCGTCTCTGCTCAGGAATGAAGAGCGGATTGCCCTTAGCCGTATAATCTCTACAAACCGTCTCGTAGTCCTGCATATAGAGATCCGGTGCGAGAAAGTCCAACGAAGGTGCATTAAATCTCCAGATATCGGAAACATGGGCGCAAGGTCCACCAGAAGGGTATACACCCGGTCCGGAGCCGCCGGCTACGACGACTGAAGCAACAATGGAAGGAGGTACGGCAGAATCTAGATCTGCTGGTGAGTCGAGGTTGAGCCAGACATTAGCATAGAATGGCAACGGGTACGCGAATTTGCCCGACGCAGCAACTTTTTCAATATAGCGGGAAAAGTAAAAGGCCATGAACATCTCGTCGGCAGGCGGTCCAGCCCCAAATACTTGTTCCCATGAGTGTTGTCCGCTTCTGGGGATAGTAGGAAACCGCTTCGCAAATTGTGGGTGTGGGTTGTCGGCCAAGTGGCGGAGTAGCTCTTCTGGGACTGGTTGCTTAAAGGCCGCCTCAGCTATGGGAGATCTGTCTCTGGAATCGCCGAGTATTCCTGACTCGTTTTGAACTTGGACCATTAGTACCGTGGAATAGGCTTCGTCAAGCTCCCTGACGTGGGACATGAGTTTGCCAAAGGCCTTTGCATCGGCCTCAGCACACTCCGTAGATAAAGGTGTTATGACGTCGAGAATCTTTCGCTTGCCGCCCGCCTCGATACTGCATACCCGGGGAAAACGCTTCGAGTCTGTCTTGACCCACGGAGGAACGTAGGTGCTGAGAGCGTTCTTGTATGCACCAAACCACAAGAGTACAAGGTGTATACCATGCCCACGAGCGTCGAGAATGACCTTATCCAACTCTGAAAAGTCAAATTCGCCCTCGGCGGGCTCAATCTGCTCCCAAGAGACAACGCCGAGCAATGTGTTGACAGCCTGTTCCTTCATGGCTGGCCACACCTCGGTCATATAGCGGGCTGAGCTGAGAGAGGAGTTGTGTAACTCGCCAGCGAGCATAAGAAAAGGGTTTCCATTGACAATTAGATGGGTGCTGTTATCGTCGCGC